TTCAACATCATCTGCCAACGATGACTCGCCCTCCCAATGCCCATTGCCTAAAGTCTTCTTTGTATATCGACGGTGAAACTACCAAACCACGTATCTCGGTTTGCGACGTCGCAGACTTCCTGTCATACTTTATTTTTTAAATGAAAAACTACTTAACATCCAGTCTTGAAAATTTCTGTGATTTTTCCTCTTTGTGCGGAGGAAATTCCGTGAAAATTTCAAGGAATGATATTGATTTGGCCTACTTCAAAAAAATAAAATGTGAGCGTAGATTTTTAAACACCGCAAACGAGATACGTGGTTTGGTAGTTTCACCGTCGATATACAGCTAAGTCGCACACACGTCGTCGTTTCCCTCGCGAAAGGACGTAACTTAATTGCAATGTTGCCTAATGTCTCCCTCCAAATTGCATTTTTACCTCGAGAATCTTGGAGATTTCTAACTGAAAATTTGAATGATTTTTTTCCTCATCTCATGCAAGAATCAGACACATTTTGGACACAAATTGTACCTACAAGTATGTTCTTGTAAAAAAATAATTGTTTTGTCAATTTTGCAACCTTGGAATAGAGTTACGTTCCTTTTTCCGGGGCATGACGACGTGAGGTCGTCAGGGGCATTTTTTATTTTGTCAAACCCAGCATCTTGTGAACAAGGCTCAACCTAGCATCGCAGTTTTTCCATCTCCATATTTCTACCTGTTCCCACTCATGTTTCGTGTATCCATGAAGGATACAGTCTAAAAACGCAGTATTTTTTAAGCAGTGTGTGGTCATAAGTCTACAATGTACACCGCCCTAACAATTAAGTTCCGGAAAATGATTTTAAAGTACACCGATCTCCAGTATACCCAACATATCGACGGTGTAAGCCGGCAATCACATAACTCGTTTGCGGTGTCTGAAAATCTCCGCCTCTGTGTTATTTTTTTAAAGGAGAACAAATTGACATCATTCCTTGAAGTTTTTGCAGAATTTTCTTTCCGCAGAGAGGGAAAATCACGGCAGTTTTAATATATTGCCGTTGAGTGGTTTTCCGTTAAAAAAATAAAGTATGCCAGGAAGTCTGCGACGTCGCAAACCGAGATATGTGATTGCCGACTTACACCGTCGATTTACATTTTAATTCTTTCATTTTTCTTTTTTTTTCCCATCCGTTTTTGCGATCCATGAAGTTTTCGCTGATGATGTGCTGGTCGCTCAATTAAATTGTGAAACAGCCATATTTATAAGTAGCGATAGGAATTTTCTGCAACGCTTACACAACGCGTGTAAAAGCTTGATTACACTTGCAAAGGTCTGCGTCTCTAGATACAAAAATGGTCCTCGATGACTCATTAGACTGAGCATAGCACGAGCGTTGCGCGCGCGTCTGACATGTTACACGGCGCGGCGCAGATGGCAGCTGGCCTTTTTGGCGCGACACTTGGACGGCAGTGATGACTTGACGACGATAGCAAACAGAATTCGGATCAATGACTTTTCTCTCGTGGTGTTTTCTACTCCCCCCCTCCTCCTCCTCCTCCCGCTGGTTGCCCTATCATATTCACCCATTGACCTAGTCGCCTTGCGCCCCGACGCACTCACAGCCCACAGCTTAATATTTTAATCTTTCGTCCCTTCCGCATTCATGCAGGGCCGGATTCACTTACTTGCCGCCCATGGGCCGCCTGTATTTTGCCGCCCCCTTCTCATTCGTTTTGAAACATCAATAAAAACCACCAGGTGAACGTGCCGGAGGGGTAGGGGTGCATAAGACGCGTTTATTCGTGTTGGACACAGTTTTTGCGAAAGCCCTATGCCAACCCTACCAGCAAAATTTCACGGAACTTTGCGCGAAAGTTAAGTTCCGTAAACCTACCTCTGTGTGGACAAGGCCCTCCATTTATAAGAAATGAACGAAAAAATTATGAAAGAACAAACATAAATGTGGTTTAATAATTTTAACTTCCGCCGCCGCGCCGCGTCTCTGGCCGCGCCGCGCTGACCGCACTGAGTTTTGCGCAATGCGTGAAGTATTTCTGCAGTCTTGTAGTCGCTATGAGTTTCACGTCGACCGCTGCTGACCGCACTGTTTTTGACGCAATGCATGAAGTATTCCTACAGTCTTGTAGGCGCTTTGCGTTTCACGTCGAGCGGTGCTGAACGCACTGTGTGACGCAATGCGAAGTTACCGTGCTCTCAGGAAATGAGAGATTTTGTCGCCTTTTCTCGTTAGTACTTTTTTCTGAATCCGATTTGCTTTATACCTTCACTTAAAAAATCCGAATACATATACAAACATACTACATGTTTAGTAATTGCCGAAATATTTACTTTATATTTGTGACGCATGAAAAATGCAAAAGTTAAAAGGTAAAGAAGAAAAAGAAAACACTGTTGGTAATCTTGCTGCGTGCAGTAAAATGAGTAAACTAACAATGTGTTGCGTTCAGTTAGGTCACGCAACTAAACTAACCTCCCGGAGAAACGAGAAGTATAGCCAGATTTGAAGGCGTTCAAAGCGTTCGGTTGGGTCACGCAACTAAACTAACCTCTCGGCAAAGCGGGAAGTATCACCAGATTTGAAGGCGTTCTAAGAGTTCGGTTGGGTCACGCAACTAAACTAACCTCCCGGCAAAGCGGGAGGTATCGCCAGATTTGAAGGCGTTTTAAGCGTTCGGTTGGGTCACGCAACTAAACTAACCTCTCGGCAAAGCGGGAAGTATCACCAGATTTGAAGGTGTTCTAAGCGTTCGGTTGGGTCACGCACCTAAACTACCCTCCCGATAAAGCGGGATGTATAGCCAGTATTTGAAGGCTCTCCCGGCGTTCACAAACTAACAGTTAACTAAGCGTTCACTAAAACTTGCCAGGTTCCAAAAGATTTTCAGGCAGAACTAACAATTATTTCAGTTATTTCAGTCATATAAGATTAAGAAGACGACTGCGATGTGAGCATTGTGAGCCTTATAAATGCATTATATCTTTTGCACCAAGAAACTAGAAGTTCTGGCTCATCCAAAAAAAGCACCTATCTGCACCTATCCCCTCTGCAAGAGACTAAACATAGGCGTAGCTAGATCATTTTGCTAGGGGGGGGCCGGGCCCCCCACCACCGGGGGGTCTGGGGGATATGGAATATCCCCCCTGCTCAATGGGGGGTCCGGGGGGCCTCCCCCAGAAAATTCTTGAAATTTCAACTCTATTTGAGCGCTCTTCGAGGCACTTGTGGCGCTAATCTTCCTTCAATTTCTGCCTAAAAATCACCAAGTTTTACGCATTTCAAGGTTAAAATACTTTGAAATTGTTGCATTCAACAGGTCATTCTATTTATAGGCATCCTCTCACTGATCACGGCGACAGAGACTTACCGTTGAAGAGGGTGTTTTTGCACCATCCAGAATTTCTGGGGGGGGGCAGATGATACTATTTCCAATTCTGGGGGGGCCAGGCCCCCCCTGCCCCCCTTCCTACGCCTTTGCCCATGTGGTCACCCCCTTAATCCGGCCCTGCATTCATGTCAACATCGCTTGAAATTGGTGCAGCATGTTCCTGGCAATACTCGAAGTCTTCCCCCCCTCATCCATCGTGGAGCGTATGTAACTTTGCCGCCAAAACATTTGAAATGGAATCATCGCTGCTGCAGCACCATCCACCCGGAACAACAAAATAATGGCGATCCACGATCAGCTGACGCTGGTAACTGTGATCACTGATAACCTCGGGTCGCTTTAGAATTTAGCTTTTTAGCAGCTTTACAAGTCAATGTTTTGTGTTTTTACAATGTGCTTACTCAGCTTTTCTCACTCTTAGTGGAATTTAAGTAATTCATAGCATATGAATTTAATGCTACCTATATTCCGCGTGCTTAAATCGCATAATTATCCCATTGAGTACTGTGATCATTCCACCTTGTGTTTCGGACCTTATTACTCAACTATGACGGAATCCGCATTCTTTCCTGAAAGACAATCATTTATCGTGAATTAATAATTGAACAATACTTATGAATCATCGTGTTTGTCTGATTAATCTGTGAAATAACTTTGATGTTTTCTTAAGCCCTCGCCTTGAGGTCTTTTCTTGCTTGATGAATTTTTTGCTGCTGTTTATGTTTTTGCTCTGACGTAAGGTAAATTCAGATAATACTGACCGTTTCCATACCTCTTTTGATCCACTGATCTTTGAAGAGGGAGATCCCTTAATTCATAGCATTATTCTCTTTCATCCAATTCATTTGTTTTCTTAATCTGAAAATTCTCTGCTGATCACTACTCGTAACCAACTTCTCTAGAAGTTGCCTCTAACCTACCATAATCCATAATTATAAATGATTGTTCTGAATTAAACTGTTTCCCTTTTTATTGACTGAAGAACACAATCTTCATGCCTGTAGGTCAGAATTTTCAATAGACTCAATGTTCGATTATTCCCTCTTCGATAAGCTAAGTTCCGTCACGAAATCAGACTTTTAAGGTAGTACTTTTTCCAGGAGGTGGCTTATCTTGTCAGACTTTGAATTTCATTTCATATCACTCTCATCCATGCAATTATAAGGTCGAAATTATGTCTGGATGTCTCATTTTTCTCACTCTAATGTGCAGCTGTGGGAACTGCTGTCTGCCGAATCAGTCCACGGAGTATGTAAGAAATCCTGGAAGTTCAAGGTTAAAACCATGTTTCTAGCCAACTATGCCCCCTTAGGAGTGTACATGATCGCGTTACTACAGTATACGTGTATAATATAGCTACCATCATTTATTGTATTCGTTGCCAAAAGGCAGGCATTGAAGTGATATCAACCGTAAGATACTTGACAATGACTTGACGAGTGATGTGGAATATCCGTCACCATTGAGGAATACGCCAGGCTTTTAAGCTCTGAGGTAAACTGCCATAATAATAACAGGTCTGGGGATCGCATTTGTTCATTTCTTCTGCACCATTTTAAGATTATGTAGATTGTTACCCTTGGAATAAAATGTGTAACTTATTGGTCTTTTATTTTTGTTATACAGGTGTCATACGTGGCATGTCAGTAGCAGATGGAGTGCTAATAAGTCCAGCCTCTGACTGTAATTCCAACAATCTGAATGAAACAAGCTGTGTTAGCAATGCATCTTCACAAGACTTTGTGCAAGATAATTCTGACTATCAGTGGATTTTAGATTTTGGGTAAGTATCATAAACAAGATCTTGTTTTATCTACCTTTGTCACTTTCTCTACATACATAGAAAATACAGAACCCTCCAAGAGGAACATGCATATAAAAACATTAAGGTGATTCGATGGACACCATATTTTGTGTCAGAACGGCGTGCGGTATATTGCATCAATTGGTTCCATTTTTTCAGCTACTCATCATTTTCCTCCAATTTTGAGATCGCAATTCTGTTGTCAGAAGACTAAAGCACTCACTTACCTATCTTAACAAAGAAATTCAACGTAATAAAGGCGTGGTTTTTTAGTCGTGCGGCGAAGCCGTATAGACTCTAGGTTTCGCCGGAGGCTAAAAAGTGTCCACACTTTTAGGCTAAGTCCAAGAGGAGAATTTTCGAGGAACCAAGTAACATNGATCTCAAAATTGGAGAAAAATGACGAGGAGCTGAAAAAATGGAACCAATTGATAAGATATATCGCATGCCGTTCTGACACAAAATATGGCGGCCATCTAATCACCTTAAGGGAGCAACTGTACATTATCCTGAGCCCTTTTACAGTTGACGTATTCACATACAGACCAAAACATTGCCATAGTCATTTCTAATATCGACTGTGAAACTATAAGACCTCATATCTCGTTAGCAGTGCTCAAAAATCTCCACTCCCATTTTATTATTATGAAGGAGGACAAACCAGTATCATTCCTTTTTCACATATTCATCTTCAGAAATACTTAGAAGAAAAATCTTGAAAGGTTTTAAGAATTAATATTAAGTAGTTTTCCATCTAAGAAATAAAGTATGACAGGAAGTCTATGTCGCACAAACCAAGATCCGTGGTCTGGTAATTTCAACGGCGATATGTAATGAAACCTAACCAATGAGATATAAACTAGCAGTTGTAACCTTGCAATTTGTTTGCATCATAGGTATGTTACAAGAAAGGGGATAGAAGCAGTTTAAAGGGAACTTCAGTTTGACGATAAGTTTTCTCATTCACAATCGATACGAAGAAAGAAAGCTTGAAGTAGCACTTGTGGAGAGGAAAAATGAGAATCCCCCCCCTCCCAAAAAAAAAATCTAGTAAAATTTATTTTTGATAATCAATGTGGTCTAAAAATTTTCTTTTGNTATTTACTGTAGTAAACAATTATCAATTATTCCATCACTTCTTCGGATTATTTATTTTTAATCAATCTATATTCATGTGAAGTGTAGCTCATCTGCATTTTTCTTTCCCTGGAACCTAAATGTATATTATGAATTTGAATCCATCAGAAACTAAGTCAGTCAAAATCAAATTTAACTACATACGAAGTGAAAACGATTTGTATTTCGCAAATCAAAGTGATAGTTAAAGCAACCAAACTGTGTCAGAAATGTTCCCAAATTACTGGGTAAGGCTTTTATCAGCTCATCATCTGATCCAATAATTTTAATTGTGGCATTTCATTCGGCATGTCGCCGCACGACTTCTATGATACTCAAAGTCTCACATATATAATTTGAAAGGGGGGGTCTGGGGGGGCGGCGCCCCCTCAGCAGGTAGCTTTTGCTACTTGTTTTAGAGAGGAAATATCGCATTCTAGTGCAGTTTCAATATCAGTATCGAATGCAATGTTTTCTCTCTGAGAAAACTATGCCTTTATTATGTTGAATTTCTTTGTTAAAATTGGTAAGTGAGTGCTTCAGTCTCCTGGCAACAGAATTGCGATCTCAAAATTGGAGAAAAATGACGAGGAGCTGAAAAAATGGAACCAATTGATAAGATATATCGCATGCCGTTCTGACACAAAATATGGCGGCCATCTAATCACCTTAAGGGAGCAACTGTACATTATCCTGAGCCCTTTTACAGTTGACGTATTCACATACAGACCAAAGCATTGCCACAGTCATTTCTAATATCGACTGTGAAACTAGAAGACCTCATATCTCGTTAGCAGTGTTCAAAAATCTCCACTCCCATCTCATTATTATGAAGGAGGACAAACCAGTATCATTCCTTTTTCACAGATTCATCTTCAGAAATACTTAGAAGAAAAATCTTGAAAGGTTTTAAGAATTAATATTAAGTAGTTTTCCATCTAAGAAGTAAAGTATGACAGGAAGTCTATGTAGCACAAACCAAAATCCGTGGTCTGGTAATTTCAACGGCGATATGCAATGAAGCCTAACCAATGAGATATAAACTAGCAGTTGTAACCTTGCAATTTATTTGCATCATAGGTATGTTACAAGAAAGGGGATAGAAGCAGTTTAAAGGGAACTTCAGTTTGACGATAAGTTTTCTCATTCACAATCGATACGAAGAAAGAAAACTTGAAGTAGCACTTGTGGAGAGGAAAAATGAGAATCCCCCCCCCCCCAAAAAAAAAATCTGGTAAAATTTATTTTTGATAATCAACGTGGTCTAAAAATTTTCTTTTGCCGTATAATCCGCCTAATTCAGCGAAACTTGTTTTTCTTTAAACAGAGACAGAGAGGGAAGTGTACATCATCATGCTAGTATTTTGTCGTCATCTTACTACACCGATGATGTTGCACTGGACTTTGATGCAAACCTTGCCGAAGTTGACATGGAGAACTTCCGCAGGGAGGACATTAATGATTTCCTCCATAGCCTTCCATCCATTTGTTGTCCGGCCGAAATGCAGGTAAAGTGGCAGATTTTTTTCTTCTCAATCATCTCTTTACTCAGCAGTCCAGTAGTAAAATTTAAGTCATTTACATTTGTATCATTTTGTTTTTAATTCAGTTTAATCAGGAGGAGCATTCATCGGGGCTAAATTTTCTAGCAACCGAATCCCATTATTTAGTGCAAGTGAGGAACTGGACAATGTTTTCTTTCTTTTTTCAAAAAATTTTTTTTAAAGGAAATTTTTAAAGAAAGTTTACCAGTTCCACCAACACCAGTAGATAGCATAAAACATTAAAAGTGAGTATCAAAAAAGGAAATAAATAAATAAAATGAAATCATGGGAAAAGAGGGGCTTTCATTATTCCATTGTCCGAACTTGGTAATTAAAAGAAAGATCCTATTGAATTTTTCCATAGATTCTCAGGTGATTTGATCACACTGCTTGAGAGGAAATATTTTCACTGACACAAATACTGTGATAATGTTCTGTTACAGATGGAAAGACAGGGAGAAATGTTCGCAAGTGTTTCGGGATCAATGATGGTCCGGTTTGACCTTGATTCTTCCATGAGCCCTCACAGTAGTTCTCAGGTGAGACTTCTAATACAGTAAGATTATATTTAAATGCAAAAATCTTTTTGCCGTTATTGTATTTTCCTTTAGTATAATATATTATAAGTAAATACAACCCTCTGCCATTAAAATTTCTCCCTTGCGCAATTATTGCCTACCAATTGGTTTGTCAGGACATCTCTAAACTTTTTAAAAGTACATGTAATATTATTTTACTGTAAATGTATGCGCAAGCAGCTCAGAAACCAGTAGAATCCCGTTTATCACATGATTTTAGTTAAAGGGGGAAAATAACCACATTTCTTTTTACTATCCATCCAAGATTGCATAGTGGTTAGGTGTTGTTTATTTAAAATGCATTCTTGTAAACTGTGTGTAATGATTGCAATGCACCACGGCATTAAAAACTCGTGCTGTTTCTCTCAGTTCACTAGTTCCAAGATCCTTGAATGTAGAGTCTTAGGGTCGTCCCTATAGTTTTATCCTGAACAGCAAGGCCTATGTAAGCTATGAGAATTGCATTAGTTAAGGAAGCCTTAACTTTGAAAGAACGACTTTAGATACAGAAATCCTCCCCCCCCCCCCCCCCCTCAGCTAATGCGGCAGGGGTGAGAGTTAACGCCATTGGTTGATGCCGTTTAAAAATTAAATTTATCAGCTCCAAAAAGTTGATGTAGAACACTTTAAAACAGGTGCGGAAATTTTGTTATCTTAAAATTATTTTAAAAATTAATTTAATGTCTCATTTAATGTTTCTTCAGGAGGAATCAAATGAATCTTCAATATGTAAATCTGAGCTGCTTTTTTCACCGGTGAAAGATACACTTTTACCAGTTGATGCCAACTACAGTGTTGACTCCTTAGACTGCGGTGAACAGGATATGATGCTTACATGTTTAGCAAATAAAGAAAACTACACAATTGCATTTGAAGGATCCACTTTGATGCATGGGTCAGACGACTACCAAGGCACAGGTACTAAATTGAAGAACTCAAAAATACCTTTGTACACATTCTACCATAGAAACATAGCAGTTCTGTGAGGTATTGGTCATTTTGGGTGAATTTGCTGAAAGCTTACTCAAAAACTTAAAGTAAGCCTTAATTAGAGGCCGGTAGCTTAAAAAGCCGAGATTCCATTCTCGAACTGATTACAGTTGCTCCTCAATTATTCAAAAACCTCTTAAATTCGAAGCAAAGGCTTCTTCCCTTAAAAATCTATAGATAATTTGAACAATTCCAACAAATTTATATAGACTTCTGACCTGAGAGCTATTAACAGGCCCATTCTGAGCGCCAATACCCTGAATTCATTCACTGTCAACCCTTCTCTTATATAACGGCTGAGCTAATGTCCACATTTATTCTTATCTTTGTTTATTTCTTCCACAGAGGAAAGTGAAGAGGGAACTGCAACGACAACTAGTGATTATTCATCAACTCCTGATAACAACTCAGTTGTGAGTCACAACAACGTTTCACTGTCTGATGCCCACCAAAAATTGACAAAGAAGCAGCAGATTGCAATGACGAGTTCGGAGGCGCTTTACACCACATGGAGCAAACTCAAGGACAAGCACTCAGCAACCACAGAGACTCTACGACGCCACCCCTCCGGAAATAATAACATCACACAAATTTCTAACTACTCTCCTCTTGCTAAGGTTAGTGGTCTATATGTGAGAGAATTATCTTGGCTGGTTAATAATAATTAACTGCCCTTGTTTTGCCATCTTTTGTCTTTTGAAAATGGGACCTCAAAAGCAATGGACCTTTAAGGTCCGTAAGTCAAACTTCCTAAGCACACCATATTTTGTTGCTCCTCTGATGTAAGAGTGTAACTCTTTTTTGGATAAGCCCAATCATCCTTACAACTCCCTGTTTTCCAGGGCTCTCATGAAAATTGAGATTCGCTCTTACGTCACAGGAGCGACGATTTGTGATGTTGCGCTAGATTGCAATTGTGGAACATCTCTACTCATCAGAAAGTCAATCGATGGAATAAATTACCTCGGATTCGAAAAATGGAGCTTGCTGGTAAAGATTGCTTCTACAATTTTAGGCTTCAAGTATTAATTCGAGGTTGCTTTTCTTAGCCTCTGTTTTCAGGGATACATTATAGGAGTTAATGTGAAAAAATAAAATGATCAATCATCTCAGTCATCCAGATTTTAGATCTAAGGTAAAATCTCACCATAACAGCTTTCAGTCGAGTGGCAAAAATGGTTGCTAAATATGATGTTGTTCCTATACCAATGTCATCAATTTGATCAAAGTTAATCGGAAAGCTTAATATCATCTTAATTGTAGTACCAAATTAGCAAACTGCGCAAGCTGCATTTATGACCAAGTTAATCGAATCATTGAAAATGAAAACCATCTCTTTTCGGGAGGGGAAAAAACACAAAAAAACAGTACAGGTCTTAGAACCTTTTTCAAGGTTTGCATTGTGTTCGGTTCGGATCCAAAATTTAAGGTTTGCACTGCCCTTGAGACCATCTTGATTTCTTTTAATGGTTACCAGAAAACATAGGGATTATGTAATGGTAATGCCCTCTTTTTCAGTTCTTCTATTATTACTTTATCTTCTATCTTCGTGTTGTTTTTTTTTTCAGTCTCTCTACAGAAATATAAGCCGCTCCTCGTTCCTGAAAAGTTTAAGCCTCTCAGAATTAGATTCTTATCATCAAATGCGATTGCGGAGAAATAAGCCGTATGCATTCAACAGCTCCTTGTTAGCATCATTTGAAAATGAGGCAAAACTTTTTGGTATGTCACTCAATGCATTACATCACTCATGTTTGATCTAACGTAATATTCAAATCTAGCTTCTTTGAGTCTTAAGTGACCTTGAAACTAATCAGAGCACATTCTTTATCGACATGGTCTGTTGAATGGGCCAGAAAACTACGTGTGGTATGCACAAAAACATGGAATTTGAAAGGCTTTTTAATTTGAAAATTAGATTACTTTATTTTTGGAGTCAATTTCATTTTAACTTGGGCATAAGAAAAGCAGCAGAGTGGAATTTACATTTAGTATTGGTACGAAGATATTGAAGTTTCAGTGAGTTTATGTGAGTTGTCTTTTAAACAACAAATGGAAAATTTACTTATTTATGCTTAAAAGTTGTCAATTTTGTCAATCAGTTTGTGTCAATTGTTGATTAATGGTACACTCATGACACCTAAGAAAGAATCATTTATGTTATTTCTTTGATTTAGTTTTTGACTCTCTAGCTACTGGCCCGTTTTAAGAAAATCTCCTGACCGTATTCCAATTTGCAGCGTTTTGAGTGAAAATAGCTGATGTCTAAAATGCCTAGAACGACAGTAATCATTGTTTGGATAGGCTTTCAATGCTCATGAATTTTTGGACTTCTTCTCTATTTGCCATCACTCTTTCTTTTGGGAACATGTTGTCAGGACTTTGACAGCTTCAGAATATTCCTGGCATAAAAGTCAGCAAACCAGAGAGGTCATCAGTGACCTCCTAAAAGAAAATTAATCGAAGGCAAATTATTAATTCTGTAGCATGCAGGCAAGGCACTAGAGGCAACTAATGTTCTTCTTGGTAGTAAATATGTCAACATCAAGACATATGTTAAGTTTAATTAATGTGATCTTACTCAGTTTTCATTTTGTGTGTGCGTGTGTTCTTTTATTGCAGGAAATGTGAAAATCTTTAATATCCAAAATAGATCCAGCTCCGAATCCTCTACTAGTCTAAGCACAAAAGCAAGCACAATTCACTATACAACACCCCAGCATAAAGCCAACTTCAGTCTAGTCAAACTTTTTATCGAACAGAAGTCAGCAAGCAATTATGCGATAGATCAGTCAGTGTCCAGCGAGCGTGGATATTGGACCTCAAGCAACACAAACAAAAATGACAGCAAAATAGTCAACAAGCAATACAAGATCAGCAAGTCACTCAGTGATAACTTAAATAATAAGTCTCTGAACAAGATGAATAAAATAAATGAGAATGACTCAGTAACAACTTTTGAAGATAGTTTAATGAGTCAGAACAAAGATAAAACTAAGTCCCAGCCTGCTGAGTCGATAGCTTTGCTGTGTAGTTGTAACGAAGAAAATGATATAGATTTAGATGATGTTTTAATGAATAGTTTTTCACTCCAAGATGAGTGTGATCCAAATGCCAAGTCATGTCAGAATATAAATTACAAGCTACAAAAAATGTACTATGAAAATAATAAACTCTTGTCTGAAGCCAGCAAGAGGTTATCATCAAGATGTCTTGTCCACACAGTAGATAGGAGTATGCAAACATCACTTTTGAAGTCCACGTCGCCTACTAGCCTTAAAGTCAATACACAAAAAGAAGCGCCTCTGTCCAAAAATAATAATGCGAGTACAAGTTCCAGTGCTGAAGGACAGGTATGTTTTAGTTTTTTACCTAAATTGTAAGAAGTAAGCTACCATGCAAAGTCCTGCAGAATAAAGAGCCAACCATTAGCATAATTAACAAGAAAAAATATGTAAATTAACAACCTTCTAGTTCATTCTTTTTAAACAATATACAAGATTGTCAACAATAATGCAGTTGCAGTTATTGCTGAAGATGAATTACTTGCCCGAAATTGGTCCAGAAAAATTGTTTTGAAAAAATGTGCAAGTGAGTCGTTAGTATATACATATATATTTTTCCTAGAACTATCCTATGCTATCTATCATCTAAGGTTTTACACTAGTAAAATTAGTATATTTGAGAGCATTCTCAGGCCATTAAAAAGCTGTATAAAATGTGCTCTCAGAATTTATTGCCACTGACATTGTCAGTTATTTTTTTACAGTGTTGACCAACGAATTATCCTGTTACTCACTCGCAATTCAACAGCTCTTTGAGTATCCATTTTTTATATGTAATATTGTTTTTTTATCTGTAATATTGTTAAAACAACATGTGAATTTTATCACTTGTAACGAGACATCATGAAAACAGATGAAACATCAAAAGTATGTTTCTTCAGTTTTTTACGAGTGATCAAATTTTTGTTTTCAGAATTCCTATAAATTATTAGTAATAAAAATTTTTAATAATTAATTTTTTGTGGAACTTCAGCTACCACCAATTTTAAAAAAGTTTTCTCTACTCTCCTACCTATTCTAACTTTTTGTATCATATTGAGATTATATGATTGTACGTCAATTGTATTTGGTATTTTTCATCTATGTTTAATACTGTTTTAAAAATCTTGCAGGACCCTATCAAAAAGCCTGTGTACATCATGTATCCAAACTACACTTTACCTGACTTAAAATTTTTGAAGAACCCAGGAACAGAGCTTGACTTGAACAATGTCTTTTTGATGCCTCAAAAATTCGTAACCTCTCCCACATCCGAAAGTGCTCCGCAAATGCCGCAAGTCCCAGATGTACAACCCAAGCCCAGACCATTTTCTTGTGGTGACCTGGAAGCTTTAAAGAAAAAAGGTAACAAATTAATTTTGTTGTTGAATGGTTGTCAAGTATGCTAAATATATATTTTGTAAAAACCAATCCATTTCAAAAGTGTTTGAGTTTTGGAGTGTCATTGCAGTATTACTGTACAAATATTACACAAGAAAAATTTTACCAATTCGATAATAGTGAAAAAATTCAATTCATAACAATCATCTTAAAAAGTTTGACAGTCAAATTGATTGATTTTAAACAAGCAAAACTCCTTATACACAAATGTGTCAGGAAGCAATTATGAAAAAAAGTTAATAAAGTATGTTTCGTGGATAGGGGATGGAGAACATTAAGTTTTGGTGTGACAAGTTGAATGAACAAAATGCAGGTAGAAAATAATCAAATGAACTAATGAGATTTCAAGAACAAAATTCGAAGGACCAGAATTTACATTTTTTGCGTAACAGTCAAAGAAAGTTTAGATAATAATTTTGCAATTGAAAATATTGAATGTCATAAATAAAGTGAATGGTAACTGTCAAGTGAAGCAGCAAAAATCTTTCAAAGGAATAAAAAAAATTAAACACAGAGTTTAAGTGCCTGAATTTGATAATAAACTCCGAAGTTTAACCCTTTATTGCATAGCATTGCATGAAAGCAACAAATGGTTTTCAGCTTTATGTCTATGCTGGAGTATTAAATTGAATCAAAGCAAGCAATAATTTTTGGGGAACATTATATGTCTGATCTCCTTGTTTAGAAAAAACCATAAAAATCGATTCCAACCGACTATAGTGTCAAAAAAATACTGTACAATGTAGATTATCTCTCCAAAATCAACGATTTGCTCATGCAACAAAGGGTTAATATTCAACTTAAAATACTTTCATGTTTTATGAAGTTATGGAAAATCTCTTTTTTCTTTTGTTATAGGGTTCGGTCATATTCGCGAGTGGGATTCACTGGCAATGTTACTTCCTCGTGATTATCGCCGAGTTCTTTCTGAGGTCCCGGAGCTCCACGAACATTTTAAAGACAAACTAGATGAAGTTCCTAAACCTTTGTTCTGCTTATCGCCTCCTCCTTATCCAACTAATCCTAAACGAACCACTAGTCAAGATTTTGAAAAGCCCAAGCGGCAAAGTAGTTTTAGCTCAGACGGATACTCAGATTGTGAGAATCGAGGAAAGAACGGGTCATTCTCCAGCACAGCCACTCACCAAGGCTCGTCTGGTTATAGAGGATCTTCCACTATTCTCTCCGATTCGGGTTCGAATCAGTCTCACCTTCCTGGCTCGAACCCTATGTTTGTGTACAAGTACGACAGTGCAGCCTCGTCTGAAACAAGCTTGAAGACGCAGAAAGAAATGCGCACTATGGAAAATGAAAGGAAAGCTAGTGACTTCAAGCTAAAAAGTATCCTAAGAAATGCCTCGTTGGAGAATTTAAAGTCTAGAAAAAATACCCTCAACACCAAGAGGTAGGTTCTGCTGTCTTCGTTTTTAACCTTGGCATTCTCTCTCTGTTTTGTGAAGAATGTCCCTATCAATCAAGTACCTTCAGTCCACAAGTTTCTTTAATATCCTGCATTTTTCTTTTTTCAAATTGTTAGATATGAGTTGATAAAAACTGAAAAAAAAATTGCAAAAATTAAAGGAGGAAGAATATGCCTAGCTTAGAGTATAGTAGATGTTAGAGTTTAGCATTCACTCTATATAGATTTTTGGCACTGTGAGCTCTAATGGCTAATTCGCACTGAGTTGCAAGAAATACAAAGTTCAAAGTAATATCCATTTCGGCACCAGCTGGTTTTCATTAACGTAGAACCAACGAAGCACAAATGACAAGATGGAAACGAAAGGAGCTAAGAAACGGAAAAATAGACTTTATGAAATGAAAATGGATATTAGGGAAAAAATTTAAAAGTGTTGACAGTAAAATAGTCATTTAGAGTAGTAGTAAGTGAAAGAATAGTATTCCTAATTTTGTTTAAAAAAAAAAAAAAAATAATGGTATGAAATTTTAATGTCTTGTTTTGTATGATAATGTTTTCAGGTACAGCATGTTTGAGTTTGGGGATGCAGAAACAAATACTGTTTCAGAAAATAACTCCAATAAAATTAAAAGACGATCGTTACCTGAGCACCTTCAACCAAACAAAGTAAGTTCTCCTTGACTTCCTTTACATGCCTCTTCAATGTGGTGAGCTTCTCTGGTATTTATGTCCATATATGAAGTCTTTCAAGGAAAGAGAATATTACGAAAATCATTGTTTAAAATTTATTTTTGATCAGTGACGGTTAAATACAGCTTTCTCACGTACATAAGGTGGTTACAATTGCCATTGCTTGATGTGTTGGCGCATAGATTTCCAATTCAATCATACTTAATCTAAAATCTTCCGTAAGAAAAAAAGTGAAGAAAAGTCTACAGCTGAAGAATGACCATGAGCTCATGCTATTTTTCACCTCTAACATCGACAGAGAACCCGTGGAATTCGGTGTAAAAGTTCAGCAGTAATTGCAAACTGAGTATGCTGCTAAAAAATTAATTTTATGTTGCTACATAATTTTTTGGGCTTTGTGTATTTCTTTTATGGACATCAAAATTAGGGGGAAATATATACATTCTAAGGTTGTGCCAATGTGGCGCAATGGCAAAAGACTATTTGTACCTCATTCATTTGTTTTTAATTCCATAGGAACATGTACCTGAAGATGAAGGCATTATGTGTTACCAGGATGATGTCGAGGCGAGGAGACTAGAGGACCTTTTAGAAATTAGTGGCGGTTTTGAACAGTGGCAGGAAGTTGATATGGCCAAACTTAGAGCTCAGGTAATACTTAATTTCACCAACCATTTTAAATTAAATCCCAATTGAATGTAAAATAATTGATTATGCGATCACCACTCAATATGGAAAACTGGCAACTCATTGAAGATAATCGTAGGTACTAACATTTTTTTAAATTTCTGCAGTAAAACCTTGATTCATCGGATCTCAGGAGACAGAAGAGATCATCTGTTAATTTGCGTAATCCGTCAATTGGAACTGGCTTGAAGCCCTTGAAGGGACCGGAGTATTAATCCGCTAAATTGATATCCGAAAAATTGAGGTCTTACTGTATTTTCAAAAAATCTTTTAGTACATTTTTTCTACTCCTGGAATGGGAAGTCCTTACTGCTTTCATCCAAAGATTTGAGTTAGAAACTTTGGTAACGTTGCATGATGTCAACAAACCCAAAATCTGATCATGGAGTCAACAATTGTTGATGTCGTCCTCAGGTAGTGAAATGCCAAAATGGGCCCTGAGCATGGTGTCAACGATCACGGTGTCAACAAACAGAGAAACATCTTCCTTATAAGTAAAATTAAAAAATTAAGTCTACAGGAGAGATTTGGGTCACATATGGTTAGATTAGGTCAATTTAGGTCAGGACTTGTATGATTAGATTAGGTAGGTAAGGTTAAAGTTCGGTAGGGTAAGGTCAGGGAAAGTTAAGTTCTGTGAAAGTGGGTCTAGGTCTTCTAAAATAAAGTTGGGTAAGGTTAGGTTAGGTTAGGTTAGGTTAGAATAACACAAGAAAAAAGACTTGAAATTTGAAAGATGTTATAGAGGAAAGTTTTAAGCTTTGTTGACGCCGTGATCATCTATCTTAGGAGTCAGAATTTTTCATTTTTAGATGATCATGGTGTCAACAAAAACTTAGAAAAACTGTTTGTTGACACCATGATCGTTGACTCCATGCTAAATCAACGCATAGTCTTTTTACAACTTAAATTATGAAAACTTTTATTTTTTGGCAAGTTATGTATCTTTAAGTATTTCTGTAATGAAATTCATTTTCTTTATTCACAGGTCAGTCATTTTTTGAGTCAAGCAAATCGGAAATCGGTCAGTTTTAATCAGACCACCACACCTCTAAATTCCCCCAATATATCATCCGCTCCACCTTACAGACTGTATCAGGTAATGCACTGTGCTTTTGAAGCTTCCAGATGAACGAAATTATATGTTTGAGAGAGAAGATGATTTTTCGCCATTGACGTGAAAGATCAGAATGGTGAAAGCATTCAAATAAGAAGATGAAGGTATTATAGAGGTTGTTACCTTTAATGTACAACTTACTCAATTCTAAAAAGATTCTGAACTACAGTTTTCACAACAGTGATTGATATTAACACTCGGTCATTTTACCCCCATCACGTCAGCCACTTGAGTTGTTGTTATCCATACTAGTAGCTGTAATCGCTGTTAAAGCTACTTTCTTTGTGACAGCTATGTCAATTTGTTTACTAAAATAATCGCTTTGCTAAGAAACTGTCACTTTTTTAATGACATTGTATCTTCCCATTCATTCTAATTACAGTAAGATCTTAATTTATCGGATTGCAATTTAACAGCTTGATCTTCCGGCTTCAAGCTAATTTGAATTACCGGATTCCACGATGAAATGGATCGATTTGTCAGTCCTGTGAAATCCAATGAATCAAGATCTTACCGTATTACTGTTGGTGAGGATTTAATAACCTTTTCATTTATTACAGGGAAAAAGTGGTGCTCTATCCGAAACACCAATCAAAGAAGAAGGAGAAAGTCCTGAAAGTTTAACGGAACAGCTTAGGTTACAGTGGATTACTTCAGTTTCCCACAAAAAAGGTAAGGATAAGAACATATAATGTAAAGTTAAAGCACAGGCTGATTAGTAAAAGAATCTTAAAGGTTATTTATCAGTGAACCCCTTAGATGTATCTTGTTACTGGTGTTTAAAAATCCCTCTTTTTATTATCTTATTTATTTTAAAGGAGAACAAACTGAGACATTCCTTGATGCGTTTTTTCAGAATATGCTTCACACATAGAAGGAAAATTATGGAAGTTTTTGAGAATTGTTTTTGAATATTTAAAAAATAAAGAATGACAGGATGTCCGCAACTTTGTAAACTGATATATGTGGTTTAGGAATTCCAATGTCGATTTCTTTCTTTGGAGGTACATAGAATCCTTCCACCCAATCTTTGAGTGCCAATGTATTCAGAGTGGCTTTTTTGCTCATGAATCTGACTTATCCTAGAGTGTATTTGAAGGTCTCTCTCGTCTTCAAAAAAGGCTGGTATCTCAGTCGAAGTCAGATACCATTAGTTTCGAATATTTAGAGCTATAATTTCCATGAAGCTTTGAAGCGCTCACCCTAAAAACACATCTGATGTTCAGACAGCATTACTTCTCAGTAGAATTTTTAGTTGACTACTCAGGACTGAAACATCATTCAGTTTATCACATGAGCTTTGTATGTATAAAATGCTACTTCTTAGCCTCCAAAAAATCAGTCGCGTCATTGTTTTTTTTTTTTTTTTTTTTTTTTTTTTTTTTTTTTAGAATGGTAACATATTTTATTTGTTTCTTTATTACAAATTGGAATGGGGCCAACAGCAGCCCCACCGGCGCGTCATTGTTTAATCACTTTGTTTTTTCAAGCATGCTTTACAAGTAGCAAAATAAACTCCATACTTTTAAATGAATTAAGTAATATAAAGACTACCAACATATTAACCTACCTTTATGTCATTTTTTTTTAATTACTTTGTGTAGGCTTGATCGAGACCGTCAAAGAATCTTCTGAATACGTCATCGCATCCTTCCAAGCTGATGAACCAGACTGCGTTGCACAGCTAGTCCTAAATAATTTGTGTCCAGCCTTGTACGCTGTCCTTTCAGATGGATTAAAACCGACCATTCAAACTGCGTTTGGAGACATTCATAATTCTGTCTGGCATGTTGTTGAAACTTCCGCCCAGCAAGGTAAAATTTACTCTTTTTCCATATCTCATTCTTTTAAGTATAAAAGGAGAAAGATATTTTCATTATTTTCTTTTCTTTTAATTCATAGATATCCCGTCTCCTACACTGAAATCTATCTGCAATATATTGTGTTGTCACGTTTATGAACTTATTTTGTGCCTACTTTAAATTCATTTGATCATAAAGTACTTAATTACATATTTATTTCTAATCGCTGCAATTTTTTGTTCTCTCTTCCAGGGCCCATCACTAAAGGACTGAATGAACTAGTACTTAAATTGAACAGTGAAGATGTGCTTACAGAAGGACTCATCAAGTTCAATGCATTTATTTTTGGACTTCTAAAGTAAGCATTATTCGTCTATTTGATCAGTTAGTATATAAGGAACGATTACTTTTTGGAAGGAAGTTTTCTATCTCTGTATTTTGATGATGAAACTGCAAAAATGTGTATGTCGGTCATTGTGCGCTAAAATCTCTGCTATTATTCCGTTTTTTCAAAGAGGACCGAACCAACATCATGGCTTGAAATTTTCGTGAAACATCCTTCTTATAAAGAAGAAAAATCACTGAAGTTTCCAAGGGATGCCTTTTAATAGGTTTCCATGTGGTAATTAAAGTACAATAGGAAGTCTGCAATGCCACAAACCAAGATATGCATTTCTGCAGTTTTACCGTCGATACATGCTTCAGGTTTTAGCTTCTTAGTTAATTTAAATCTTTGAAACTAACTTTATACCATCTATGACGATCAAAATTTTACATTGGCAATGTTCTGTACGTACCGATGCATCGATTTGAAGGAGGCATCCAAAAAATCTTGGCTTCTACTTTTCGATACCCTTAATTTACTGTTTTCCTGTCAAAACAAATAAACATTTCAAACCCCTATTCTTCAGCTTTGAAATCTTTAATGTTTAATTACATATTCATCTGAATTTCTCAAGGTAACAGTCTTTTTTTCCCTCTAGCGTTCATGGATTAGATGCTTGGTTTGGTTATTTACGCACGAGAGAATCTCTGTTGAGCAAACACTATTCCGATGAAGGGTTGCTGCTATCTGCATGTAGAAGCGGCTCAACAGTGAGAGGACTAGTAGATCTACTTATCACCTGTATCCGACCCCTGGCTGAGTTGCCCTTCAAACTAGACCTTCTCTATGAATGCAAACAACTTCACCAAAGTTTACTTCAAATAAGTGTAAGTGTAATGAAATTCTCTCATAATAATTATTCGGTTTCAATCGCGCTGGAGTTACATACTGCTTTTAGACATTTTTTATAATTCTTTAAAATTCAATTATGTATGCTGAAAATTTTATTTGCACTGAAACCTATGAACGAACTGAGTGTTCATGCACTTTTAAATTCTCTCAACTTTCTTTAAGAGAAAAAGCGATTTTTAGGAAAGGAATGAATGAATGCTTCACTTTTTCCTATTCTACATCCATTTACTTTCTTTTGTTTTTTATTTTGAAACATTTTTTATTCAGTGCTGTCTCAAGTTTAAAAAATCAAAAGACACCAAAATAAAGCTCTCATGGAAGTTTTTTTTAAATATTTGCAATCTGACATTTTGCTGTGAACGTTAGTACGTTTTCAACCAAAGGAGTTTTTAACGGAATTAAAAATTTAGCTTTTTTAAATTAAAATTCATCCCAACATGATCAGATTTCTACTAAATTTATCTTATAAAGTAGCATCAAGTGGCATTCATCTAAATGAACTTTGATCCAAAGATTTATTTCTCTACCATTCAATATTTTTCATTTTAGCGGCACCCACTATCTCCAGTACAATCTAGCATTGGTAGCAATAACCGAACTTCATGGACTTTACGGAAACTAATGAGGTCCCTCCAGAGTCTTGCTGCTCAATCCACCAGTGAACACGAAGATGCCAAGCAAACTATTTCAGGTGAAATTTCTATTTTTTGGCGATTGCTGTAACGTAATTGAGTAGAGAAAGGAGCTGAAATATCTTCTCCGCATTCCTTATTTGAAAGGAAGTCCCTCGCTGCACATTGTTAACAAAGGCAGTAAAGATAGTGTTAGTAAAGGCAGTTACTCAGTAGAGTGAAGCTTCTCAGTTATTTTGATGAAATATCTATTCAAAAGTCCAAACTCCCCTGTTATCTTCTAAATGGTTGCCAAGAGCTTTAAAATTTGAATATATTTTGAACATGTTTTTAGAATTCTGGAAGGGGACCCTCCACGAGAGAATGGGGCACGTAAACTCTTTTTTTCTTTTGATAGACAATTTTCCGTTTGGGGTACATCATTTGATGTAATGCGTCATTGTATGAGAAAAGTATGTAAAAATTGCAAGTTAATAGCTCAAGTTTTAAGAAATTTGTTACACGTCATATTTTTTGGCATGTAAATGCACTCAATTCTTCAAAAAAATCATTAATGCAATTTAAATCTCATCTTGAGAAGAGCTGTAGGTTTAAGGTAACCAGCAAGATGACTGGTTCTTCCAAAAATTACTATTCCCATTGAAAGGGGATTGCCAGTCCCCTAAAACCGCTACATTTTTTTAAAATGTTCATTTAGTTTGAAAGTGCTTTCCACACTGGGTGGTCAGCAAAAATATCATCCAAAGTTAGAGAAATGAACTCTCTTTTTTGTTATCTAGATCCAGTTAAGGCTCGACCCAGGTCATGTGTTGACTCTGCAGACCCAAGTGATGTTGCCAGTACCGCTCAAAAACGGTGGAGTGGTGTTCTACCAGGCAGCAAACTGGTGACTGCATTTCAGAGACTCGGATGCGATGAAGACGAGTACACGGAGGACAGGTATTCTATTATATTTTCTCTTCTTTAGATTCATTATTCTCTATATTTTCTTTTTTATCATAAGATTTGGTGGTGATGGGAAATTCTGGTGTAGGTTTTCTCTTGCCATGGATGGTTCATTATTAACTTAAATACCCATCAATTATGGAGTATGGACATTTCTAATGGCATCATCATGTTATTGTAAACGTGTCTGAAAAATATAAAAACTCTTATAGAAACCACTCCTTTTAATTTGCTACTAATTGAGATGCTGGATGTGAGAAGGGTACTTCTTAGGACAATGTTTCAGAATCCATGCTGCTATTTCATTCATCGGAAGGAAAGTGAATGCATTTATTTCATCAAAATTTGTTACAAAGGATCCCTCATGATCCTACAGTAGAACTAATTCCAGAAAAATCATCCATGAGCCTCTTCTCTGAAACATGAATTAATTACGGAGATTCTGGAACCAAAAAGTGCCCTTCTGGCACATAGCATCTCAATTTGATCTGTGAGAATGACGACACACCAACGAAGAAAGTTAAAAATGCTCAAAGTTCATAAATGCCATTGAAGATGGCGATCTATTTCACTTTGGGCCTTTGAAATGTCCCAAGGTAATTGTTCTGTGGCATCAAAAATCTTTTTCACATACCAACTTTTTCGCCTACTGCATACTTTTTGTGTCTCTTGAACTTTTTCGTTTTTCCGCAAGGCACACTCTACTACAGGTATGGACAAATGGGGTGCCGAAGTGGCAGCGCTGAGAATATAGGCCATCGAGTGACGTCGCAAGTCGTACCATCTCTGCTGCGCAGTTTAAAATGAGGTTCTGGCAGATCTGGTAGCTTCAATTAGCTGTCAGATGAATTTAAAAAAATTGATGAATCTCAAAATAACGAAAAACTTAACTAAGAACATGAAAAAATAACACGAAATTGAAGAGACCCTCTCTCAGAACAGAAAGTAAACAAGTTTTCAATATGGCAACAAAGTGGTACCATTAGATGCTGTCAAATCTACGCGTTTCGATGATTTTCTAAAAATCCATTTGTCCATACCTGTAGAAGAGTGTACCTTGGTTTGTCTGAGTTGTTCTGTTTTCATTCTCACTGATTCAATTGCGATAAGAGCCAAGATACTGATGTGAAAATAATATTCCTTTAAAATTGCTCTTCTCATTAAATTAATGTTTGGGATTTTGGGTATTCTCTCTCTATTTCTGAACGTCTTTTCTATTTCTTAATTGGTGTTGGTTAACTTTGTTCATGTTCATTCATGTAAAGCAAAAGCATGAGAATGTCTACACTGACTGAACCCCTATAACTGAACTAAAGAAACAAAGAATATTTTGAAAGTGTTCTTTCTAATTAACATTCGTTCCTTTTAAAAACAATACAAAACGCCTAACATATATTTTTATTAACAGTTCTCAAAGCACATTAACTCTCCGGACGATTCTGGTACTAACTTTAGTGAGAACAAAAAACAAAAAAAATGTTACTTTATAAAAATGGCTCAAAAATTATGATGAGCAGATTGAAAAAAATCTAAAGTTCACACAATACTTTACAATCCAACATTTTTTAGGCAGACTGTGAGACAGGGGGTGAATTTCAGATTCAGCCAATGTGCTCATTGTAGTTTGTGCATCATTTTCTAGGAAAAACAATTTTTTTATCTTGGCTCATGTTATATAATCAAAGCAGACCCATTGCCTACTTCATTTTTAAATGAATAATATACAAATAACTGCTGTGTCCTTTACTTCATTATTAGTTAGAACTTTCTATATTTTTAAAAATATTAAATTCAATAAAGAACGGTCATCTTTATCTACTTAGAAATGAACTTTTTACTTATCCTTTTTTCCTCTTGGTATATCTTATCTTACAGAATAACTTTTTCCAATTTTCTTGAGCCTAAGGGTTTCTCTCCTTATTTTTTTCTTGCTCGTCAACATCCACCTCATTTTAATATTTTATTTCAGTCTGGAGCCTAACATTAACAACTTCGCTTCCAACAACAACCACAATTCTAGTGAAGATGATACATCGGCTAACACAGCCGAATTAGAATCTGAAACATTAATGCAAGAGGCTGAAAACCTTATGAAAAATGCAACAAAAGACGGAAAATTCAAGCGTTTACAACTTAAATGGGAAATGTTGAGTAGTAAAGACACAAGAACTCCTACCAATGGTAGACTATCTACCCCATCTTCGCCCGCTAAAAGCTGGTAATTAACTGCGTATTTTCCCTTGTTACTGTTGATGGATCAAGATACAAAGTTTTAATTGAAACATTAAACACATCATAGTTGCCTAGGAGTGTACAATTGCTTCTGAGAATAGATTTCTCCCCGAATGAGAATAGATTTATGTACCTAAAAAAGTATGGAACTCTCCCTTAGTTGTGTAAATAAACTCACAACAGCATCAAGACTAGTGGTCCTTATTACCCGGTGATGGTTCCTCTCAGTGTGATTCCATTTTCTTTGTGTTCAGGAATGCTAACTCTGGCTGAAATTTTAAGATGCTCTTAAAAACTTTTTGACTTGAAAACAATTTCACATATATTTCACGTTGAATTTAACATTCATTCCGCACAAATTACTCAAAATGTAAGAATTATTGCAGTAAGCCCTCAGTTTATCGGATTGCAATTTAAGGGATTCTATGTTTTGATGAATTGATATTCTGGTCCCTTCAAGGGCTTCAAGCAAATTCGAATTAATGGATCGATTTATCAGTCCCATGAAATTTGATAAATTGAGGTTTTACTGTAGATGGTGATCAAGTACCGAATGGCTCACATCTACATCGTTCCACCTAAAAATCTTTGAAAAAGTTTTCATTTCAATGGAGTTTTACGGAGCTTCATAAAATACGTACCTTAACTTTTTAACCTTCAGTACTTTTCTATTGATGGTTCTGGTATTCTCCCCTCTTTTGTCAGTATTTAATTTCTATACATGTAATTTAAACTAAAACTCAGCCGTTTTGCTGTCCATTTCTCATTGAACACTCTTGCTCACCCACAAAAATCATTAAAAGAACTTTATCATTTAATTTTTTTCTTGAAGCATGGCAAAATCACCCTCTCTTTTGCTACTGTTTCCAGGTGCCCTATCTTATTTTTTAAAAAGTTATGAGCCATTGGACATTGCCAAAACATGACATGCTAAGTGCAAAAAGACCACGGCACTATGACGGCAATAAATTCCAACAAATAGTCTCTTACAGATTTAAAATTACAACTAAGTTCCAATGCAGTATGAATTCAAAAGTTTCCTCAGAATATCAATTCATGGATCTTAATTTTTATAAGCAGAGGTATCTAAATTTATAGGAAAGAAAAAAAATATTGTATTTCTTTACGATCAAATATCCTCTTGTCAATCTGTAGATCATGGCCGGCTTCTTAAAAAATAAAGTATGACAGGAAGTCTGCAACATCACAAACCGAGATATGTCGTTTGGAAGTTTCATCATAGATGTAACGGAACATGTATTGATTACTTTGAAAATATTGTGTCAGCTGAATACAATTTCAAGCATCTTGCTGTTATCATAGTGTGTCATATGTGTACTACATGTTAGGAATCTTTGCCAAATTTTATTCTTGAATCATCTTTTTAAATAAAGTTTGTATAATTATTTTTATTTTATTCAATTTTTAGTGGCTCTTCAGCATCAGGCGCTTCTTACCCCAGGTCAAGAATTCCTCGACCCGTCTCGTCTCCTACTAGGAGTAGTGCCCCAATGCCTCCTGTCAAAAAAGTTCTTTCGCCCTCCACTCAACAGTCATCAACTTTAAGGAAACCCTTATCCACACCTAATATTAAGTACGTTTAAACTTTATTTTCGGATTCTAGTAAAAATGAAAGCTTTCTAATCTGCTCAGTAAAAGGTTTAGTGTTGAAGTATGCATTTATTTAAAAAATAAATATTTCAGGGGTGTCCTATCGGAGTTATCACTTTACTTTTTCACCTTGATTTTGCTTGGCTGATCTCCCAACGGAGCCTTCAAGCAAAATACCAGCAGGAAAGAAAAACAACATCTCCAAGAAGATCTTATGAACTCTAATAGCACACCATAAGGGGTGTTATCCATTTTCATTACCATCCTCTCACCAAAATGATGTATAATTAAACAGAGTTAAATAGGAAAGAGCAAATATACATTGTGTTGAGAGTAAAGAAAATGTCTTAGAAGTTTTATTTCTTCCCAGTACCTGTAAAAAGTAAACTGCAATGCCTGATCGCACACAGTACATATTTTTTCTTGCCTCTCTTTCGTATTTGACGGGTGAAAATATGCAAATGATTGAGCTGAAAACTAGTTCGAACTTAATTTTTATTGAAATTCAGTCCAACCTCGATGGCCTAGGATAATATCCAAAGTAAATTTCTTTTGATGGTTACATCCTTGTTAAGACTTCATAAAGGTACTGTAATTCAATTTGCAAAATCGTATCATCAGTTTTCTCGTGAAAGTACAAAAAGAAGAATGATAATGAAAATGAGGAATAAATTAATCACATTTCTTTTGAATTGAATTGAGTTCATTCAACTGTGAAAGAAATGCTTTAAAAAAGTAAAAAATTCATTCATGATCTTTATATTTATAGAAAGCAACTCTCCGCTGAAGTCAATGCCACCAAGCCCCCTGCCCCTAGCAGAATCAGCAGAGCTGATCTTGGAGCAGTGCCCAAACCAGGTGCTGTGAAGGCAGTCAGACCTTCAAGTTTACCTTACAGGAATGCTTTTCTCGTTCGGCCATCTAAAGCATCAGAGAGCTCGAAAAAGATACCTCAATCTTCTGTCAGAAATCGATCTTTAGAACCACACAAGTAAGTAAACTGATCTTAAATTTGATGAGAATTGAAAGTAAATGTATCAGTGACAAAAATATAGGACTGAATCGAACGGATCGTAGGTATGAGCATTTCTCAAGACAATGTTGAAATATAAATTCAAAACAAAAATCACAGGTAATCCTAAATCCTGAAAACAATCGTAATTCTTGTAAGTATTAGAGAATACATTAAAAAAAAAAAAAAAAAAACACCTTATGGTTTTCAGGAGCAATCACACTTGCCAATTACAATGAGCCTTTAGACAAGGTATGAACTGTATGCAACTGTATAACAAACTGTATGCAACTGTATAACAAACTGTATGCAATCTGTTTTCTCCTCAAAATTCCTCAGCAAAAACAAATCGCACAGTAGAAAGTCTAAAAATCAACTCCTTGAGAAGATATTTGTGTTCCCAATTAACATTGGTTAAGTAAAAAAAATACAAAGGAGGGGTGGCGATTTGGGCCATTTCCGGCCCCACCTAATCCGGGACTTTTTTTGCTGTGATTCGTTACGTATAAGTGTCAAGAGAAAGCATGCCAAGTTTCAGGCCGATCGGCCCAATATTCGGGGGGCAGGGGCCCCCCGAATTTTTAAGCGCAAAATCGGTTTTAATTTTGTAGCGCCGTCAATTTCGCTCGTATACAGATGAAAATTGGGTGCCAGGGGTAAAATTTTGCGTTCTTTCCATTTCCGCCGTCAAAATTGGCACTGGGGCAAAATTAAGGGGGATTTTGGGGGGTTTTTCGCGATTTTTCGCGTTTTTTACCAATTTTCTGCGGTTTTCATGCTTTAAGTCAGAGATTTTCAGCCAAACGACCACAGATTTGATTTCTACGCAAAAAATTACATAGGAACACAATGACCAACTAACACTCAACAGCGGATTTCTCTAGGAAAAACTGACCCATAAGTATGTGTTCACTCAGAAATTTTGAAAATAGCCATGTTTCGGGTACAGCCCAAGCTTGTAGCACTACCATATTCACATATGATACGCTCTAGGTCGACCCTGTTGATATTATCGGGAACTTGAAATGCTACCCGCTTGGGCGGAGGGTCGAATTCTCCTCAGAAACGAATAAAAAGGCGATAAAATTACGTTTCACGTGAATTGTTGCGAGAGGAATGTTATTATATCGGCAACTTTCACCTCCAACTTATGTAATTTTTTGCGTGCTTTCCATTTCTGCCATGAAAATTGGCATCAAAGCAATTTAAAACGGGTTTTTTGGGGTTTTTTATAATTTTTTATCATTTTTTACCAGTTTTTTCCGGTCTTTAGCGGTTTTCATGTTTGAAACCTCATGTGGCATATCAGTTCTGTGGTTTCTTGGTTTTTACCGACATCAAGAAAAAGAGCTCCGAAGACTGTCATCCTCTTATGGAGACTGCCTAGAGGATGCTGCTTACTTATGGTCTGACGAGGATTCAGAATGAGAGATAAGGATATTACACAACATTTCTTCTGCTATACGATTCATCCGTGACGTATTTTATGGATGTGATAGTAAATGTATTTTGAGAAAAATTAAAATTTGTGGTCGTTTGGCTCATTTGGTGAGGTTTCAAACATGAAAACCGCTAAAGACCGGAAAAAACTGGTAAAAAATGATAAAAAATGATAAAAAACCCCAAAAAACCCGTTTTAAATTGCTTTGATGCCAATTTTCATGGCAGAAATGGAAAGCACGCAAAAAATTACATAAGTTGGAGGTGAAAGTTGCCGATATAATAACATTCCTCTCGCAACAATTCACGTGAAACGTAATTTTATCGCCTTTTTATTCGTTTCTGAGGAGAATTCGACCCTCCGCCCAAGCGGGTAGCATTTCAAGTTCCCGATAATATCAACAGGGTCGACCTAGAGCGTATCATATGTGAATATGGTAGTGCTACAAGCTTGGGCTGTACCCGAAACATGGCTATTTTCAAAATTTCTGAGTGAACACATACTTATGGGTCAGTTTTTCCTAGAGAAATCCGCTGTTGAGTGTTAGTTGGTCATTGTGTTCCTATGTAATTTTTTGCGTAGAAATCAAATCTGTGGTCGTTTGGCTGAAAATCTCTGACTTAAAGCATGAAAACCGCAGAAAATTGGTAAAAAACGCGAAAAATCGCGAAAAACCCCCCAAAATCCCCCTTAATTTTGCCCCAGTGCCAATTTTGACGGCGGAAATGGAAAGAACGCAAAATTTTACCCCTGGCACTCAATTTTCATCTGTATACGAGCGAAATTGACGGCGCTACAAAATTAAAACCGATTTTGCTCTTAAAAATTCGGGGGGCCCCTGCCCCCCGAATATTGGGCCGATCGGCCTGAAACTTGGCATGCTTTCTCTTGACACTTATACGTAACGAATCACAGCAAAAAAAGTCCCGGATTAGGTGGGGCCGGAAATGGCCCAAATCGCCACCCCTCCTTTGTATAGTCAAAGTCCCATCTCATCGGAGTTGAAAATTACTGATACCCCGGTCGGAAGGTGATTTCCGAACTTCCCGTCTTGTGAATAATTTCTACGTAAAGTTTTGAAGACACAATATTTGACGTGTTCTTGTAATTCAAACTTTTTTTAGTGGCATATTTGAGATGTTACCAACATAATGACAAACATGGTGCTAGAGGAGTAGTACGCTTGTCTCCCTACATCTTTTCAGGAACGATTCTCCTGGAATTTTTGTTATCATTCAATTTTTTTGCTGCAATAATAATCCAAGGGTCTCGCTGAAATTCGGACTAATGATCTTTTCTGTTTTTAAAGTCAGATCTCTAGATTTTTTCTTCCTTATCTCACACATTCTCAGGAGAAATATTTTTGAAAATGATAAAAATGACAGATATTGAGCGGAAGTTTGACCCTAACAACCGGGATTTGTTCGATTTCCTCCAAGTTGAAAAATGTGTTCTTATTTTGTAAATCCATACAGATTTCTGCACATGTACCTTTTGTATTGTAGTTACTCGGGAGTATCTAAACTTTCAAGAAATTGTCTTAAGCGTTGTAGCCTATCATTTGAGGTGAAAGAAAAGTTAAAAAAGGTCAAAGGAATTTCTACTTACAAGAACTGTGCCTTTAACCAGCTCCCAAGGTTGTTTAAATCCACTCTGTAACATTTTTTCTTATAATTTTGCAGGTATGTCCAGACTCTGCTGCATAGACTTCCATCTGATAGTGGACATCTTTCTTTCAATGAAGGGGAAAAGTTACGACTTGTTCTGGAAGTTGATGAAAAGTGGCTTCTGTGTTGTCGAGGCGACCAGAAAGGCCTTGTTCCAAGGAGTGCAGTTATTGCCTGCAGTAGGTACTGAATTTCTCCACAAGGTGAGTCATTTAGTCACATTGCTCAAAAAACATCAATTGAAAATTGTTTTCAATAATTTTTTACCATGTGCAGAACAATACTGAAAAAAAGGAACACTATCTTCATTCATACGTGCAATTAAAGGGTCTTTTAGGCATAGCTTTGATTATGGCTTTATTTTCATATATTTCTCATCGCAGGATTTCCCCCAGTATTAGGAACTCAAGGTGGGTCGGTGGGAAACAACTTTTTAAATTGGAAAAGGAAAAAGATACGAATAATTATGGCTTATTAATAGTTTTTTGAGTAGACGAAAAAAATCGTGTGTTTCCTTTTGAGGGTTAGCATCAATCATTTCCATCCTTCACAAATTTGTTCTACAGTTAATGATTTTTAGGTCGATCAATCGTTTTGAAAATCGATCTAGAAGCAAAGTAATAATGATCAAAATTAATTTATTTTATTCGTAGAGAAACTTCAAAACATGAAAATTAACTTTGCCTCCTGGCTTTGAGGTTTCAATTTCAAGTAACATAACGTCATACCCCAGTGATATCGAATGTACCCAACCCAAAATGAATGTACCAAACATGAAAAACAATAGTTTCAATTCATTGTCTGATACTTCCAATGGGAAAATTTGAGCTTCCTGTGAGCTCTAATTTCGTCTTTATTTAGCCACTCTTATAAGTGCAAATCTACTGCAGTTAGTAGAGATTTTATCCTCTGTTTTGTTCCAAGTGCAAGTTTTGAACATCAAGCAAACTGTTTTCAGTCTAAGAGGTAGAAAATGTTCTCAGAAGTGCCCAGAGCTGCTAGGGTGCAATGTATTAATTTTCTTGAGTGGTTAAAGGTTATCGTCAAATTATCCTGGAGTTAGTTTTCAAAATTTTCACTCTTTAAATTGCTAGCTTGTTTAGGTTCCAAGAGGAACTGTAGGAAAAATCAACATCTCTCCTGATGTCCCATTATTCCAAGTTTCCTGCCATCTGCAAAACCTAGAAAATCAGGGATTTTACAGCAACCTGGGAAAATTAGGGATTTTACGGGGACTTGGGAAAATTAGGGAATTCGAAAATTGCAGAGTCAGGGAAAAGCAAAAAAGTCAGAGAATTAGGACATGAAGACATTTTGGAAACCCTAAATTCTTTAGTCACACTCACAATCAACAACTGGAGCTTGAAAATTTGTAGATTCGTAGTGACTATGTATTAAGCTTTCATGTTATTCAAACTGTTCTTTAAGATATTTGTCTTCTAACTGTAATTTTTAATTTTTTTTTTTTTTTTTTTTTTTTTTTTGGCAGGTATTATGAAGCATTGTGACTGACCTTTGAATTGTATGCTCTTTACCTGGGAGTCAACTTTCTAGAATGACCGTACATGAGCAGGTATAGGCATTCATTAAACTTACAATTAATTTATACAATTCCAAACTTATCAAGCCTCATAGTTAGCTTACTATTATAATGTGGTACTGAAATTTTTTTGAAGCAGCTTAACTTGCTCTTGTATCATGCATAGACATAATCTGTATATACTTATCATCCACACTTTGGAAAAAAAGCAAAAAAAAAAGACTTATATATTTTCTAAGTGTCAAATACTCCTATTATGTAAGTACTAGTTGTTGCAAAGACTTATTAGATTTCTAAGTGCGAAAATTTGAATTTGTAAGAAAAGGAAACAAAAAAATAAGAAAGGAGTAAGGATTCTCTTTGAAACAAAACTGAAAATTCATGTATTCGTTTGTACAGTGTTTTGCCCTACTTTCTCTTTCATCAACATTTTCAATGAGGTTATGCAAGCCTATTTCGTCAGTATTCTCAGAAGAGTATTTTTAAACGGCTTTATTGAGATATGTTCGTGAATTGAAAAGTATTTTATATTTGTATTTTGTACAGTATTTTTCCTACCTACGCTTAAAATGTCAAAAGTGTGCAGTGAACTGTTGTGTCCTTGCACCTTAAATTTCTGACAGCTTTGTTTTTGAAGATCATGCGATTTTACACTCGCAAAAGTTTCCATCTTTTATCAGGCGGAGCCTTTTATTTGTGAGCTGTTAGTGCTATTGTATTTTTACTGTATTCCAAAATTCAGATGAAAAGATGAATTATCTCTTCATTTTACCAACAATTTTTTTAAAGGTGAGGTGTAAGAATTTTAATCTCAATTTTAAATCCCCGCTTTCCCTATTACATCAATGAAAACTCAGATTTTATTTCTTTGATTTCACTTTGTTTCCTTTCTTTCTTCCTCTTGGAAACTCATTCATTGAAATGCCTAGAAGCACTTTAAATACATTTTCTTTTGTTAATTTTATCTTTTGAATTTAATTTTGAAAAGATTAGATAAAATCACTCCAATAAATGAAGTGAGTTGACTGAAGTTACTGCAACATTGACGGTGCTTCACTCTTTTGTTTTCTCCCTTTCTATTTTTTTTTTCCTCTTATATTTCACGTGCTGAAAATTATTTTATTTAAATAGCGTAATAAGTTTGAAATTGTTTTTCCTTCCTAATATTTTTATTCTATCGCTCTTTTTTCTATAATAAATAAAAAAATTTTTTGGTCTCTCATTAATGAATCAAAATGGAGTGTGCATAGAAGTCGCACCCTTCCCAGAATTAACTACTCTTTTTGTCGTCAAAAATTTGATTCCCACGCCTAAAAATTGACTACATCCTTTCCGTTTGTTCAAGCTTTATTTTATATTGGTGTCATCAGTCTGAAATCAGCCTCTCTTTTTCCATCTTGTTCTCTAAATTTTTTCACCTATGCTTTGTACTGATTTGTCTTGCAACCTGAGTGAAATGATTGAACAATTGCCATATCACCATGTTAAAATGAAATTGGAAATATAATTGGCATAATCGATCATACTTGTTTATAGATATGATCTGAAGTCTACTTTTGCTAGATTTTTTTCAGACTTCCAAAGAAATTTATCTAGGAGAACTTACTAATTCACTCATTTTTGGTTAACACCAATCTGATGCCATCAATTGTAGATTATGCTCAAACATATGACTTGTTATAAGATTGTACCCAAGAATTTACTAAAAAGTTTATGTTGCACTAAATAGTAACTCTTGTTTTAACAATGTTTTAAAAACTTCAATAGCAGGTCTATTTCAGCGTATAAAATAATTTGTCATTAAGTAATGAGCTGGAAAACTGGGTGAGTCTTCGATAGTTTCTGTGTTGTAAGACTGCCTCTATGAACTTTGAATCTCCCGAATTGTTTTCATTAATTGTAAAAAGATGAGCTTGTTGCCACAAACCCTCTTTTTGCCTGCTCTCTTTGAATAAATCCTCTTTCATCTAGAATTTTTTTCTCTCAAAATTTATTTTCTTTTTGTGCCCTTGAAGTATGGTAATTATCTCATAATTCCAGCCCCGCACTTTAATAGAACACAAACAGTCTTATCATTTTCACTGAGCGTTCATCATTTAGTTTTCCTATCCAATTTTCTATCTATCAAATTCTGCTTGAATTCCTCACAAAAAAACCTGAGATCTTCTCTGTAAAAAATTTGATACCTTTTTAAAATTGCTTTCCTTCTCTCTTTCTCTCTGTATTCTGTGAAGAAATGATTCAAGACCAAAGGTCGTATTCTGTCATACCATGTAATGATGCCTCAAGTCTTTAAAACATGCATGTTCTCCAAAATAAATTCAACCGTACTATTCTTCCCAAACCGGACCTGTCATTTCCCCAACCTGTCATACATCCAATGAAATTTGTGACATTTTCTCTCTTTGATCTTGAGCCAAATAACCTCCGAACATCTCTAAATTCTATATCTATAACATGCCAAGTATCGGTGTCAGTGTCTCTTTCTTGTTTTTCTGTTTGTCTGCTTTGTTTGATACTCAACTGTTGCTATTTGTTGCACTGATATCTCTCTCTGCAGAATAACTGTGAAATAGGACTTTTGAAACTCCTAAATGGAGAGAAAATAACTTTGAAAATTGTGCAAAGAATCGAGATGATTTTGGTAAGACTTGATACGGCCTTTACAATCAAAGATTCTGTCAGCTTTTTAACTTAAATCAGTTTCAGTTTATTTTGTAGAAAACTGGCCTTCAGTAAATTTATAAGAAGCTTAAACTGCAAAGTCTTTCCAGTCGCTGCTTCCGAATGTCAGATTCTAGTGTAACCAGTACCTCTTTTCTCTCTTTCTTTTCAAAATAGATAGTATAATTTAAGTCATCAAATTGAAAATTAAAACAAGAGGGTAGGCAAGAAAAGGATTTGGATGTGATTAAATAGCAACTCAGAAACCATGCACTCATGATTACATGGCTAAAAATATCTAAAACTTAAGAGTATTTATCTGATCTTTCAGAAGATTAATTTTCAGCAAGCAAACCTTTTATTAAGTTAGATACTTTCCATGACCATATCAAAAAAACTGTGACAACTCTATTTTTTTTTCTTTTCTTTTCTTCTTTTCTTTGTTTTTCCCTTTCGTCTCTCATTGTTTCCGATGGGACTTTTTTTGAGGAACCTACTTACCTTTCAGACTTGTGTCCATCTAAATGGAGATTTCAAAAACAACTTTCTGTTTTTCTTTTTTTCTCTCTCATTTTTCCTCCCCTGTCCATTCTGTGTTTTCAAACCACTGAAATATTCAATATCTCTTGAATTACATCCCCAATAGTTTAATCTGCAGTATTCGGATGCCTGTTTTTTCATGTTATAGCTAAGATAAGTTAATGCGTCAGTATTTTCGATCTCTTTTTCTAGTTTGTTAATAATTTTGTTAATGAAATTTGTGCAAAATGTGCATTTGTAATATTATTTGTATCTTTCAACCCTTAATTTTTCATTTTTTTTCTTTCTTTTTTTTGCCTTTGTATTATAATTTTTTTATTATTATTTTGGTGCTATTAAGAATTTAATTAGCTAAATAACAAATCTGAGAGGACAAAAGAACCAAAGATTTGTCAAAAAAGCAGAAAAATTGCATTGTCAAAAATAAATTTCCCCTTTTTAGATAAATGTTTGTGCAATGAATGATATGCTAAGAAATTGTGTGCCATGCTTGGTAAAAAATCAGGTTTTAGTGCAGCGGTTTTTCATTACATATTTTATATTCTGCTTTCTCTGCATCTTGTGCCCCGCTGATAAGTTTGAATATGAGTGTTTTAAACAGACCTTATTTTTTATACTTTGTATTGCTGTCAAAGCAGGAATTGCTTGAGCCTTTGCTTCTCTCCTTGTTTTGTCCCTAAAAAGGCTGCAAATATGTAATTGCTGAAGAATATATTTTAGTGGTTTGTCTAGGTATTGAGATTATTTTTTGATCTGGTTGTTAATTCCAAGTAACTCAATTTTCTCTCTATTTCTTTTTCAATTATTGGTTTGATTCAGCTTAAAAATTGACACGGTAACATGATTGATAACAATGTGTCGGCCAACTCATTTTTGAGAGAAGCTCATGACTGTTTCACTCTTCATGAAGATTTTTTCTTATTTTCATTATTATTCTCTTAATTGTACTTTTTTTACTCCACATGTGCTTACTATTCTTTCTTCAGATTTTTGCTTAATTAATTATATTAGCTAATTTGCCATCCTCTTAAACATCTCTTCTTGATTGTTGTTTTGACTTAATTTGCTGTGTATTTTAAATTCTTCCATTCTCAGTACCTACAATTCCTGGAATATGAAATTTTGTTCTCCATCCTCTATGCTGAACCTACTATTTTTTAATGGAAAAAGTGTAATAAATAAACCATTAATTTTTAAATTTTTCCATTTATTTATTCCTTACTTTACCCCACTTAAATATATGATGACTCCAGGAGTTATTAATGTACTTAAATAAAAGGCAAATCATCAATGTCAGGGTTAAAATCAAAAGTTCTCCGATTTAGCCGAAATCATGTTTATCTCATGTAAAATAATCCTCCGAGTCCGATTTTTCAGTCTGACAAGCTCCACGAATCCGCTAGATTGCTTCAGCAGCGAAAAGCGCACACTTCATGAACTCTCAGAAACGGTTGAAAACTTTCGTTTTTTTTTTTATCTTTTCTCGGCTCAGGAAGCCTCAGGAAAATTAAATCAGTGAGAATGAAGACACACCAAGCGTAAAAATGAAAATGTTTAGGAGACACAAGAAATTTCCAAGTGGGTGAAGAAGTTACCATAAAAAAAAAAAAAAAAACTTTTCCTTGACACACCTTAAAATTCTTGTCCTGAGTAGGTACTTATTCTTAGCATCAAAAAGATTTCTCCTATAGTAACTTTTTAACTGCAGTTTTTTGTGTCCCATGAATATTTTCATTTTTCCTGGTCGGTGCGTTTTCATTCTCACTGCTTCAATTGTGTTAGGTGTGATGAAGACCTGAATTGAGGGGCTTGGAGAACAAGGCGCATAGTGTAGTTTTTTATATTTCCAGAAGTATGTGTTTGAAGTTTCAAAATTACATAGATCCTTATGACAGAAAGAAAGGTTAAACTGACTTTTTTGATGCTTAAAAACTGGAATAAGGGAGCGAATTTTTCGTAGAATGTGCATTAAAACTAGTTTTACTTGAAATCATCACTACCTCAATTTTTTTCAAAAACTGCACTGATGCGCCTTGTCTTTCAAGCCTCTCAATTCTAATTTTAAAAAAAAAAACTGACCAAATTTGAATTCTAATAAAAATGACATGTATTTTAACACACATAAATTTTGTTCTCGTATCACAAAATTATTTTCATAGGTACTTACATCATGTAATGACAAAAAAAATTAACTTAACATCCTATCAACATAATACACGTAGGTATTAAAGGCTTTTGTGCCACACAAAAGGAACATAACACTGGATACAGCCTAAATTTAAGAGAGGGGATGAGGTCATCCTCTGCATAGAAAAATAAAACTAATAAAAACAAAACAAAGAAAACCGGTTCAACTTAAATTCAGATTACTATGTAAAAATAGAACAGGTAAATATGAAATGGTATCATACAGTGTGTGAGAAAACTTTGAGATGACTCGAGATCTTGGTCATACCTATGAGCTATTTCCATATGACCTCAACAGAGAATGAAATGAAAATACACATTCCACAGTCTGAATATGACAAAATAAACATTGCAAATAAAGTATCACAATCAAAATTATACTACTTTCATGATTCATTCAATTTTAAATATTTTACGCATATTTTAATTGATTTACCGAAAATATTTTGGATGCTTGAAATATTCTCAAAATCTTTCGAAGGAATTATGTTTTGAGAGAATTACATGAATTCATTGACTGATCCTCAGAAAATTCAGAGGAGACATCTGCAAGAAAAAATCCAAGGATCAGTGTACATTTACAAAAAATTCATGTATCAAACAACAAAATCTGGAATCTGAATGAAAATTGAAAGCAGAGAAAAGGAATCAAGGTACATGGTGTTTTAGATGGATAGGGTATTTTTTATTACATACTGCTGATGAGAGATTTCTATAGAAAAAAAATTATTTTTTCTTTTTTTTCATGTACCTTTGAAATTGAGGCAACATAAATACATTTCTCTGCACAAACATACTGATTCATTTCCTCCCTTCTAAGTATTCAATCAAACATCTCATCATATCTAAATAACAATTACTGAGTAAAAATTGGTGATGAAAATATTTCAATAGAGAGCTTAATTTAACAATTTTAAAAGCAGTAAAAGAGAGAGAAGAAAGCAATGGAATAAAATGATGACCGATACTTCCATTGTAGTTAATTTTTTAAAACTTTCAGATCTGAAGAATTCGATTTCAGGCAAGTGAGACCAACAGGCAAAGGAAGTTTTTTATTGTCTTTGGATGATATTAAAGATTATTTTCAATTCTGATTATTAATTAGGCAACAATTATGATGTATTCTGCAAAAATAAAATTGCAAGCTAACTCTTCCCGCAATGAAACCAAATTTTAGGTGCTTGAGAGATAATGTCAACAAATTATTGACAGATACGGAGCTCAACCAGAAATAACTGTACAAAGAATATTGATCACAACATTCAACTTTTAATAATCAATAAAATCACTTTTTCGGTAAGTTACACCTTTGCACTAAATGAGGCTTGATTGAGCAGTAGTATTTTGATAATGAAAATGAAAAAAGCAAGAACAGTTGGCAGGAAACCTCCAAAGCTTTCCTTTACTTCGGTTAAAAAGGTAAAATGTGATGAAGTTGTGATATAAAAGCAACTTTTCTCTTACTCAACAAAGTTATCGAAAATTATTTCAACACAGTTTTTTTTTGAAACTGAACAGACATTTCTAGACTTGCTGAAAAAATAATCCTACCTGATGGTAACCTTAATTTCAGGAGTTAGCTTCATTCTTTCATTAAAAAGATCATCGACAATTTAGTCTCCGCCAAATGACAAACGCTGTTAAAAAGTAAACACAGAAGCAAAATACACAAATATAAACAAGTTGAGGGATGGGATCGATTTCTGCAAAATCCATTTCTGTGAGAAATTTTACAGGGTATTTAAAATGGCAGTACTTTGTTTCACAAGGAAGCTGCTCCCTGTCATAGCCGTAGATCGAGAAAACTAAGCTTTGGAAACCCGCTCGAACAAAACTGAAGTGGTGCATCCACACAAAGTAGAATGGGATATCCTTCAGACGGATGGCAAAACCAAACACCGACATAAGGACAATTGTCACCGGTCCCAAAAATACTGCAATCTGAAAAAGAAAAAAACACATCCTCCTTGAGACAAACAATTTTTATGGCTGTTAAAGGTTAGCAGAAGTTAAGAGAGGAGATTAGGCATGCCATTTTATCCTTTGATTAGCTAAGGAAGCCTGATTTTAAAGCGAACTCCCATTTATGTACGAATGCAATGTTTTTAAACACAACAAGAATAACAATTAGTGATAGAGATGGTTTTTCTGCTAATTTTTTTTTTATTTTTTTAGGCTTTTCATATTCTGAGGGTTCTAATCCATCATAATTCTTTCCATTTCTAACGGATGCTTGCTAGTATGTAAAAGTGTTTGGCTAAAAGCACATTTTTCACAAAAGAAAATAATGCAATAACTTCTCCCATTCATAATGGACAGAATATAGGACAGATGCATGAATCATTCTTCTCCTGGTTCTATTCGTAGGTAGAGAAGCCACATACGAAACAAAAAGTATATTACTGTTAGATAATTTTAACCAGGATCACCTAAAACTGATGATTTTGCTGCATCATAGAAAAACTAAAATGAATAGTTTTTTATTTACAATGGCCAAAAATACTACAACTATGCCATCTACGAGACAAATTCTCGTACTTTGGAGAGAGAACACAGCAGTTTCTCATTGTCACCATAAAATTAAAAATTGGATGGAACTACACAATTGCAGAAATAAGCAACAATGAACTGAACAACTGGTCTGACAATTTCCAAAAACTTGAATATGAACCGACGAATCTCCAATTTGAAGAGGCATGAAAAATTTTAAGACCGAGGTATTTTAAGCATCTTGTATTTTACATAATACATCTTGCTCAATTTAATGAGTTTGATGTTTTCCTCCACAATTTTAATTATTTCCGCAGAGAGTTCACTGAACCATAGCCCCTGTATGAAAGATGGACCTTGAAAGATATAACATTCTAAATCATACAGAGTCAGTAAGATCAAAAATGAACTATCACTGCCAAAAAAACCTTTTTCCCAACCTCTTTTTAAGGCTATTTATTCTATGGACAGAATCTCGGTATATGTATTGACGCTATTTCCTTAACCAGACCCCCAGTCGCTCTCCTCGTGGTTCATATTTTGAGAACTCAAGTTTTCTGGAAGCATTTATGAGGGTCTTTCATTTGATGAACGATGGAAAAAGTTGCAAAGCTATTCGTAAAAATCTGTCAAGTGTTAAGTTTTAAAACACATTTTTCAGTGACTTACTGTAATAGGTAGAATTGCGCCATACAGAAACCCAACACTCTGGGCAGTAAGAGATGTAACAGTAGAGTAAACAACAAAGGAAATGAACCTATGAAGTTCTAGTGGCTGTCCAGTACAATAATACGCAGGCACATTATAGATGAGACAGCACAGCACCTGAGGGAAATAAAGGCACATTAACATTGGACGTGAAAAAACACTGAAATTTTGGAATTAATTCAAGATTGGGGTTATTGAGTTTTTAAGTTACCTCTCGAAAAGTAGTTTCGATGGCTAAAGTGCGAAATGACGTATCTCCAATGCGGTGTTTCAAAACTTCTACTCCTAGTTTATTTATTTGAGGGGAAACAAGCTAACTTTACAGCATGAAATTTTTTCTGAATATTCTACTAACAGTGGAGAAAAATTAAGGAAGTTTTCGAAAAGTTTTGATGACAAATTGACCAAAGAAAACATATAGCATGTCAGGAAGTCTGCAACATTGCAACTTAATTTTAGATTACAACGTTAAAATTGCATGACCTCCTCAACCTATTTCAACAGGGATAGTATGTCAGTCACAAAATGCCCCGGGGATAAAACCCAGAATCAAGGATCAAAATGCGTAGAATTAATTAAATAAACATTAAGAGAAAGGTGTAAGTATGTCGACCTTAAAGCTTGTGAGTTACCAATATTTTCAAACTTATGCGTTTTTAATAAAGTGAGGAAACAGAAACAGGAGTAGAGCTACTACATTTTATTACAAAAAGAAGTAGCTAATATAATGAGTGATCGTTACCTGAAATGGTAATTCCACCAAAATTGTAGCTATCATGTACGGTCCTAGCGAATACCACCTATTAATGTATTCGTGTTTCAAAACTCCCATCTCTAGAGGAACTGAAAACCAAAAAAGTATTAAATTACAACTAGAATGAGAGCAATTTGTAAGAAAGTACCGAAGTGAAAAGGAACCAGTCTTCCTTGTATTTTTTGGCTGTCTTTGTAACTTGCTTATGCTTACTTGAACGTAACAGAGTAAAACTGGTAGTTTTTAGACAAAATCTCATAAATTCACGGATCTGAATAGATGTAAAAAAATTTCATATGAAATAAAACTTCAAATAAAATCTGATGAGAATATTACGAGTAAGTTGAGAATGAGTTAGTATAAACATAGATCGAGTAACTAAACAATCAACCCATGTAGCGATTCCTAGTGGGTACGATTGAATTTCTGGTTGAAAAAATTGTAAATTTACTAAAGCTAGGAATCCTTGAAATAATTTTACAAAGCATGACAGGAAAACTCAGCAATTTTAAACTTTACGCACTTATTGCACTTTAAGAATTGTTTTATTACTTCTTAAAGCATATTTATAATAAATTTTATCGTTTATATCTTGCCTACATCAGACAGATACTGCGTTCCACAATAGCAGAGACTTTTCAAGTCCCATTTTTCATTTCAGTTTCTCCTTTCATTCATGTCAATGGTACTTCTACCTTCAGACCAGATGGAAAGACCTACTAATTTGTACATTTCCATCGTTTTTTGACCCCCCCAGGGGAACAAAAAAACAGGGGAACAGGGCTCTCGAGGAAATTGAGATACACCTCAATGTCAGAGGCGCAAAAATATTACACCCATGGAAACAATAAAAATTGTAAATAAAAAATAAACTCAAAGCTAAGCCGCAGAAGAGAGTGGATGATTTGAACTTCATTGATACGCATATGCCTCCTACAGAAAAGTTAAGTAAGAAACTTACATGATAGAAGTACAGCCATGTGACCAGTATAGACAAGGAACAGAGTGGTACCGTACAGAAAAACATAATTTCCTAGAACTGAGTCAGCCTTGCTCCCAGCATCATAGTACAGGTATCCAAATACAAAAGAAATAAATAAATGTGCTAACATTCGGAGACCAAATTGAACCTGAAAAAAAATGTATACGTGGAACATGAGCAGTGAAAATGAAGAGCTGATGATGTAAAAAGAGGAAAATAATACTTAACATATTGCACTTTACATTCAGCTCATACGCCTGACACCAATATACAGTGTTCCCATGACACTGCAGCCCACACATAGGATAACTCTGGCAAGCTGATGTCAGACACTGATATCTGCAAACTGACAGTGACAGCGTGAAAACTTGTGTCTTAACACTTTTTGACCCAACTTAGAGAGTTTTTTCAACCATCCACTCAAGTTTAACCGTCTTTTTTGCATGAATTTGCAGCGCCACAAAAAAAAATGTAAGATCAGAACTTGTAAACAGTAGATGTGTTGTGAACAAAAAGACAATGCAAACATACAAAACCAGTGCCTAAACTTGCCTATAAAAAGTTTATTTGATTTAATCGTAAAACTTTCATGACTTCATAAAGTCTTTACTGCATCTTTGAAATTTGTTTCTTTCCTCTTGAATATAAACAACTAAATAAAGTACTTAAAGTAAAAGACAAATACTATTAATTACTGTACTTGATAAAAAATAAAATCCATGAAAAAAGAAATTCTCATCAGAAAAAATACATAACGTAGGATATTAAAAATACTTACAGTATTTCTCCTCAAGGTTATAATATTCCTGCACAATAGTCGATAGGTTTGAGCCCACAGAGGTGGAGGACTAGGCTGTTTTTTACAAAATTCTAGGACATCTGTTGTCTTCTGCTGATGTTTCCTTAAAACGGTCATTCGCAAACCTGTGGAAAAGAGGAGAAACTTCAATATTTTGATACAAAGTACCTGCATTGGTAATGATTGTTTTTGAGATTGACCATTCTCAAAGAGTTGCAGATGTGCCGAAGACTACTCCCCCCCCCCTTTTTCAGGTGGTAAGTAAAAAAAAAAGGATATTTCTAATTGATTTCTACTAAATTGTTCTGATTCCTCATAAATGTAGATAAAAAATTCCGTTGTATAAACACTGTTGATTGATTTTAAGATTGATAAAAAGCTAGACACTTTTTGCAATACGTAAATAGACATACTACTTTATCAAAATAAGCAACTCATGACATAAATGGATCTCATTGCTCCTTTTTGTACTTTTAAAAAAGTCATTGATTAACCAAGAATGTGTTCATAAAGCTTTGCTTGATGACGGATGATTGAAAAGAATTATAGAAGAGTGAGAATGACAAAACAGATGGATACTATAAAACAGTAGACAAGAAAATGGGGTAAAATTTAAAAAAAAAAATAATAAAAATAGATAATTAAATATAAAAAATATAACATATTTGCTTTCAAAAAAATACAACAAAATTAAAAATGAATGTAAAAATAAAAAAATAAAAAAAAACATAAAAAAGATACAAAAGAGGATACTTTCTTTTACAAAATGAAACATTGCTAGGCGAAAAAAAATAGATGAATAGATAAAACACACGTTTAAAAGAGAGGCAAATGGATAGTTCTCAAATGGAAGAAATATATATTAAAAAAACGGATGGAAAGTGCGAAAGAAAAGACAGAGACTGACAAGTATGTAAAACTGATTAAGAATATTTGACACTTATATGTTGACGGAGGATAGTGGCATTTTATGGGCTATGTTTTTTTTTCAAATACTATAGTATTTCTCAATAGGAATGGAACACACATGCTGATAAAGCTATTTGTTGAAAGAACAACCATTTTACTAAAATCTCACTAAAATAATATTGAAGAAACTTTAGGTACTTTGAAAGCTAAGTAAAATTAAACCACAGCAACACTGCAAGTGTAAGGAACAAAACGGAGCAGATAAACCGCCAAAAAATCATTAATTTAATAATATTTTGGGGAACTAATAATGATATTCAACAGTCCAAATTATGAAACACACAGCCTTACTGCTGCAGTTTTAATATAGAGCTGATATTATTTAAATTATTAGTGACTGAGAACTTGAAACAAGAAAGATAAATTAATTTTATTTCTTAGAATAAAGTTTCTTGGAGCTCTTATCAAAATTACAAATATTGCCTTAAACTTTGAATGACCCAGATACTTTAATTACGGGCATAAAATTATAGAGCAGCTTTTTTTGGATGATCAACAGAAAATGTTTCTTTCTGCAAAGTGAAAAAAATGAGCTGTAGGGTAAAGCTTCAGAAAAAGGAATTGGCATTGGAAGAAAATAATGTGAAAGAGAGAATTTAAGTAAAATAATGAATGCAAATTTAAATAAATATATTAGAACCTGCTTTTGATTTTTAATTTCCAAAATAATACTTGATAATTAATAATAAAATTTATAATCGTGCAGCTAAAACAAAACTTAAAGCCTTGACACAATACAAAAAAAAAAATCACAACAATCAATCAGAAAATAAAATTAAAAATCGACGGTGAAATAAAAACAAAAACGCAAACAGGGAAAAACTTTCTTTGATGCAACACTCCAAAACAATTAACATTCACTTTGAATTTAAACAGTCTTACCCTTTTCTTTCCTTTTTTTGGTATGACTTGTTGATGGATCGTCTAGAAATCAATTATTTATGTAATGAAGTATTATTATCAGACGTAAAAAAATTGAATCCAATCAATAAACAAAAATGAGAATTTCAGCTCAAAAAAAAGTACTGCTGTAGATACTCATAAAAAAAATGATCACATAGGTTCCTTAGTTCCGACTGAATGGTGTTTTACCATCTTTTCCAATTCTGATTTAAACAAAGAATACAAAAAAAACTATTGGCACTAGGATTTTGCTTAGAGCAAGCTAGTTGATTAAAAAACATGTCTTACTCCTGACATCTTGTCAAAAGGGAACATTTTTCTGATGGCAATCAGAAATAAAATAGTTCCAAATTTTTACATGATGGAGCTGTGTAATTACAATATGATAATGGTGGCAGAGTTAAAGAAAGTCTAGCAGATGAAATTATTGCATAGATGCAACTGCTGATAGATTGCTTACAACTTAGATGAGTTTCAATTCTTAAAAACTTCTCTAAATTCTGGAAAACACTTTGGATGGTCATTCGTAGCCATCCACTCAAATAAGATATATTCAATGGTTGGCCTCTAGCCTCCTGCTTGATGACCTCATGATAACATGGGAGGCACCTTGTATCGGGACAAAGTTTTGAGTAAAATACTTCGGATGATGCAACATTTGATTTATACAATTATTTGAGGCAGAAAGAAGTTTGATTGGTAAAAATAAGATACCCACCATCTTGAGAAGTTATTATTTCATCTGCTCTTTCTGACCGATACTGAGATGAGGCACTTTGCACCAATGCTCTATGATCGGCTCCATATTCTCCCATTCCAACATCAATCACTGGAAATGAAAATCATAAGCACAAATTAGCAATAGAACAAATCTGAGATGCAGGCGCGCACCGTGCTGTGCATGCAATGCGTGAAGTATTTTCACAGTCTTGTAGGCGCTAGTGCGTTTCGCGTCGACAGCACTGTTGGGCGCAATGTGTGAAGTATTCCCACTGTCTTGCAGGCGCTAGTGTAAGTTTAACACAGCGCCGCGCCGGTTGGCCGCACGGTGTTTGGCACGATTATTCGAACTCGCATTAGAATAATTGTGGTAATCAATAATAGGGCTGAAAAAGCCCAAGTGGTGTTTGGACACCGCGTGAGCATTTCAAATTTTACAAAATGACATTTCAATAATACTCATTTGTTTTCTTTGAAAAATATCACAGCAGCATATATTTGAAACTTTGCAATCAGGAAACAAGTTTTCCGATTTGGTACAGTTGAACTTAATCCATTATAAGTATTTGTTTGATTCATTTTACTGTACTTTGTCATAAATGCAAAAGACACTGCTATTCCAGTTTTTTCTAGACCTGCAGTTAAATATTCAGACTTACTATGCTTCAAGACATGACATCAATATTCTGCTTGTTGCCGAACTTTCCTGTTCTTCCTGACCTGCGGACACCTTGTAAACACTCATTTAGGAATTATTATAGGTACATTTAAAAATGAATTAAACTTACAGAAATCAGCTGGGTTGTGATAAGGAGGACAACGTAGATCAAGCTTAGAGAAGTAAGTGACTAGATCCTTCGTGCTACCTTGGTATATACATTCTCCATTGGCAACACCATACAAATGATCAAATTTCTCAAAAAGAAGAGCTGTTGGCTGATGAATGGTGCAAATAATTGTGCGCCCTTGCCTCGACAACTCTTTCAGTAGTCGAACACACTGAAGACATGATGTGCTGTCTAGACCCCTGGAACAAAAACCAACAACAAATGAGCTTGTAAATACTTCAGGATGAAAAAGACCGATGAACCAAGAATCCCTTCAATGTATGGGGAAATAATTTTTGAATTATGAATGAAATTATTTGAGGCTGCCACAAAGAAATCATTGCTAAAAGCATTGGGTACACTTCGGCACTGATAAAATTTCATACTTTCTTTATGCGATACTATACAGATTATTCAAGCATAAGCAGCTTTTGACATGGTACTTATGTTGTTTCTTAAAAATGATGAACTAAGAGACAAACGTTTGAACTCATCATCACTGTTTGTACATCGAAAGCTGAAGTCAAAAAATGTATACACACTTCAGATTACAGTATAGTAGGTCTGAGACCATGTCTCATCTTTTTAAAGGAAAACGAACCAACATTTTCAATTAAAATTTTCTGCGAAATTTATTTACCTACTTACTTTTAAAATCACACAAATTTGCAAGGAAAAGGTTTATTAGTTTCCCTTGAAAAAAATGAATAAAGATTCATGAATATTTCCATTGAGATACTTATTTTTTACTTTTAATCATCAATACAGATAAACGGCTAGATCCGCATACCTTTATTTAGAACCATCACTGGCAGGGTCTCAATAATTACCATTTTTTTCCTTTCTTCTTTTCTTTTCTTAAGTGAAGCAAAGTCATAACCTTGATTGGTAACTGAGAAAAACTACGTACTTAATTTAGTAAAATTTGATAAAAGACGAAGGCTAAAGATTTCAATTACTGGCATGAAGAAAATGAAAAAGGCGCAGTTATTAATTTTGAGAATACCTTGAACTAGTGAGAATGCGTTATTAAATGTTCAGGTCAATAACATGAGGGTCAGATAAATAATGTCAAGAAAAATTAAATTAATGAAGAGAAGGGAAGAGATAAAAATCTATCAGTGCTTATTGGAACTTTACCAAAAGCTAATGATAGTATATTGACTGATAATTCCTGAGAAAGTGGGTACTTAACATTTAATTCTAATGGATTGATTCTAAAATTCTTTGAGATGGATACTTACGATGTAGGCTCATCCAAGAAAATAATTGGTGGATTTGTTATTAACTCGAGCGCCACTGACAACCGCTTTTTCTGACCACCTGACAGACACTTTGTCTTCGTATTAGCATGATTTGTAAGACCTAATATTTCTAGTAATTCAATAACCTGCAAGAGAGAGATTGTATTAGCACATGTAGAATTTGAATCCAAATTAGAAGAACTATTAGAGAACTAAAAAAACTATACGGATCCTCAGAGTGAAAAAAAATAATTAAGAAAAAGGACAAGTCCACAGGAAGAAGTTCAAAACTTGGCTTTGGATTTTTACCTTTTTATCATTTTAGGTGCTATTATATAATTCAATTCATGATCTTTCTTTGAGGAACACCATTCATAATGGCATCAAATTTTCTCTTTTAAAAATTATTGCATTGCATGGCTTGTAAAAAATCGGCAATCATTCAAAAGCCAAAAGCTAATATCCAAAAGCCAAAAGCCTTTTGTTGTTTAAGTATCATATGAGTGTGCTCCCACCTTTATTTGTAATTAGTTAGATCCTCTGTACATGGATAAGGCAAGACTAACAATAAGGCAAGAATAATCATTCACGTCAAGTTGTATGTTATTATGCATAGAGAAAAAAAAGGAGGTGTTTGCATTTTGGGCATCTTGGAATTTTTTTGATGATTTGATGACGTAGGTCAGTACAGCAACGTTTATCCTGTCGATTTTCTTGGAAATGGTGTAATTTAAGGAAAAAAGTCATTATATAAAAAGTGCTTGAAATTATATCATGAGTTGATTTAAGCAGAAAAATGGGACATTATGGTCCGTTTTTCATACTTTGAATTCCGGATTTCGTTGGCCAGGTTGTACCGACCTACGTCATACCTAGGGTAAACAAACCTCAAGATGCAAACACCTCCTTTTTTTTCTCTGTGGTTATTATGTTCTTCTCAGAATTTGAACTTCTATTTAGAATAGCATTACCTGCTGGAAATTAATTCTTCTCCACCTCTGAATCCTATTTATGCATAAAGAGCAAGACTAGTAGAGAGATAATCTCTTTTAAAAAATCATGAATAATTGGTTGCCACTACTACTACAACTTGGATCTTTTGAGTCAATTTTTGGCCTTTTAATAATGGCACTATCCGTTTTCAGCAGGATTTTTTGGTTAAATCATGAATCCAAAAACCTTAAAAGAGTGCAATAATTCAAATACCTGATACATTTTCTGTTCATATGATACGTTAATTCCTAGTTTTAAGTGAGCTGCAATCATCATCGATTCTTGAACAGTCAACCTTGGCCGTAGATAATCATCCTGCTGGATGTAGCATGAGAGACGAAGGAAATGCTCCATATTTTCAGGAGTTCTGAGTCTGCCATTGTACATCACCGAGCCTTGACTCCCTTTAATCCTGTGAAAATATGCAAATTTAAATTATATGTTCCAGCATTTACTCTTCATATCACATTTGACTTTTTTTTTCTTTCTTTGTTTTTAGGGTAGAGTAATCGGAATTTCGTCTTGAATTTTTTCTGACCAATCCTCGGTTCAGAGAAGCACTATGTAAAAAATTCGAGTGTAAGTTCTTACTGAGCATAACCCTGGTAAAAATTGGCGATAAGAGCTGCGATTCAAAATACCATCGGAATTCTTATAGCCGGCTAAAGAAGGCTACAGAAAATCATATAGCTGGCTGTAGAATGCGGAGAAAATCATACGGCCGGGCTGTAGGTACGAAGCGATAATAAATTATGCAGCCGGGCTATAGTTCCTATCGCCGGGCTTTACACTTTATCGCCTGGCTGTTGCTTTTTCGCCATCGATTATAAGAGGCTATAAGAAATTGTGTAGAAATTCGTGTGCTTTGGAAATCATTAAGTTTGTTACGGAACCACCTTAATATTTACAAAACACACATTATATTTTCCTTTAATACATATTTTTTTTCATCAATTAAAATGAGAATAATCCATTCAGGATATGCAAACATTTTAAAATCATGAGTTGAATAACGCTGACTCCGCCAGATTGAATATTAGAGCCTAATAACACAAAGCGGAGCGGCGACGCACTGGCGCCTACAAACCTAACAGGGATACTTCACGCATTGCGCAACGCGTGAAGTATCCCTGTTAGGTTTGTAGGCGTTTCGCGCTGGCTGCCCGCCTGCCACGGCGCTTGAAGCAACTATTTCACACCAGAGGTATTGCACAGTATCATACGAAACTGAAGGCGCTCTAATATATTAGTAATGGCAGGCATCCATCAAAAGTACGGAGCTTTCCTCGCAAAATAAATCAAGATACCACGGCCCAAAAAGAGAGCAGTATTCCAAAAACTCACCAAGTCCAAGCATCCGTAATTAGTAACGTTTCGCATAAACATTATCGTCTGGCTGTTGCTTAATCGCCATCGGCTATAAAAGGCTTTAAGAAATTGTGTAGCCGGCTATAGAAGATATTGAAAATCTTACAGCCGGCTGTAGGTCCATGGTATTTTGGAACACAGATTCTACTGCCAATTTTTACCAGGGAATTTCTTATTTTTCTGGGTTCTTTGCATCCACTCATAAAGCTGGACTTTGGGTTTGCGTTTCTTAGCTGTGGGACTTTGACTTGCATTACATTGAGCCGTTTGAATATACCCACTCACCCACTGCCCTTAGAATTCTCAAGACTAAAATAGTTAAAAAGAGTCAAAACTTACTTGTAACCGGCTAAAACATTGAGCAGAGTGCTTTTGCCAGCGCCAGAAGGGCCCATTATAGCCGTCAGCTCTCCAGCTCTGAATTCACCACTAATTCCGTGGAGGATAGTTTTTTTGGCTGAGAACAAAAATAATTAAAATTTCGTTAGTGGCCACTTTAAAAAGATTACAAAATAATCAATAGAATACTTTCTGATGAGAAAATAACTAAATTGAGATCATAGTAAATTGAAAAATCCAAAGAAGAGGACATCAGAGGTCGAAGTATTAAAATCGAAAATTGCGGATGGTACGCTGATGGAACCTTATGGAGACATGTGAATAGAATTAGAATGTCCCCAGGTGGAGTTTGACTTCACCTACTAACTGCGAGAAGATATTTACGAACAATAAAAAACCAGACCACCAGAAGACACAAATCCGCGAATATGTATCTAATGCAGCTAAGTATGTTTTCTGGCCTATCTTGGAAATTGAAGGCGGAATGCAAATTAGCAAAACCTACATAACTACAGTTCTCCCGTCATAATTCTGCTTTCCATTGGTGCAGCTAGACCATTTATCTAAGAGGGGCGGGGGCCTGCCCCCCTCCCCACTAAAAAAATGAGTATCCTCCTTGACTCCACCCACCGGGGGGGGGGGGGGGGGGGGGGGGGGGCTTTCTATAAACTTTACCGAACTTGGACTGTGGAGCGGTGATCTTAGCTCCTTTTCAGTTTGCCTTCATTTTCAGAGTAGACAACTCAACCTCCCATGTGGCCAAATAGAGGTGTCGCCCTCGGAAGTCACCATCGATCGAGGAAGAAAGCGAAAATAAGACTTAACCGAGCGCGGAGTGGTGACTTTACCTCACTGTCGATTCGCCTTCAATTTTCAGTGTAGGCAACATGGTCTCACACACGGCCGAATAGTGGTATCGCACTTACAATTGAATATCACGATCCATTGAGGGAGAAAGCGGGAATAGACTTCACCTATATAGCGTCTCATAATCCCTTTCATGTCAACTCTATTTCTCCACAGCTTCGGCAATAAAAGTCACTATGTGCGCTTGTCTCGATAGCCACCAACAGAAGTTTCCAGTTCATGTAAACAAATTTAATCCAATGTGAAAAATTCTGCTCTTATTGTCAAAATTTGAAGCCGAAATTGCAGTCAACTGATTCGATTTCAACTTCTCAAGGCCCCGGTCGAAATCTGGAGCACGGTTTTCGATGATGACATGATGTTCATCGCGTTCAACACGATGTTCGTTCCGTCCTATACTCGCAATACTTTTCTGTGGCGCTTAGTTCCGTTTGACAGAATGCGCTATACGGGATTCTAAAATCCTCAAAAGGAACTTAAACTGGCGGTTAGTTCCGTTTAACAGAAATACGTCCAACTCTGACTGTTATCACTTAAAAAGTGCACATGTGTTTTAGATGGTTATAGTATAGGGCGGCTATAGGCTATGCACCCTGACCGCTTCGCGGCCCAACCCCCCGAAGAGCTTCGCGCCTCACGCATAATTTATCTCGCATTATTCTCTTAGAGACATTAAACTCTTTTTTATTGTTAATTAACCCTGATACAAAAGGTAAAAGATTATCATCTTTACTTAAATTAAATTTTTATAATTTTTTTTGGCTATATTTAATTATATTTTTTAGAAATTTAATTTTAATTAATTTTTAACTTTTAATTAGTTAATAAATACTAGTGAGATAAGTTGATTATAATAAAGACAAAGATAATTAGTTTAATCATTTTATCAGTGTAATTGATATACTTTAATTTAGTTATTTGTCTTGTTAAAGATTAGATTTTTTAATCTAACTTTAATTTGACAAATTCAATTATGCGACACAAATTGCGATTCACAATTATTCTTTAATTTGACAAACTCATACAATTTTATATAATAAGAGTATGATATGCTCCAAAGTTTAGTTCATGTAATCGTTCGTTTATCCTCTGCCACCTAAGTGCACTGAGGAGTGTAAAGAAAAAAAAGAATCCAAAAAGTTTGGAATAAGACGGACTGATAAAATCAAGGCCGCTATTCATAATCTCCCCCAAAAATACCCTTAATTAACATTCAGGTTTCAATGTAAAGTCTTATCACATTGCTTTTAAGAAGTGATCGATCACGACTCACGAGACCTATCCATGACCTACACCAATCAGCCACCAAAATAGAAAACGCTTTGTTCAAAGCTAAATGAATTCGTTCCGCCACTTACGAAGGAATTCAACGTGTTAATTGGGGGTTCGTCGAGGGAACTCATCCAGTGGCGAGGCGTGAATGATCGATTATCGATATTTCCCCATTTGAAGCTATAGTAAAGAATCGAATTCCGGTGTTCGCTTTGTTTATCGATCCTTTTTATTAGGTTCAAATGGTAGACCAATCGATATATCGCAAAGCACGCCATGCCACTGAACTCATCCTTTCACTCGTGTGATTGAACTTCTTCATGGTCGTTGATATGATTGGAGGAGATGACGTCTGAATTTTTGATAGGATTTATTCAAGGTTATAAGACGGAGGGCTCGTTATTTTTAGCAATTCAACTTGTTAAAATTTTGCAAATTTTCTGTGGCTGAAATTTAAAAAAAGTTGTGTTTTTTCCCCCATCATTACACGGAGAAAAAAAACTCGTGCGTGGGACCCGAAGTTTAGGTCATATGGATCTCTGAAGTTTTCAGATTGAGCATCTGAACACTTTAGGTCTAGCTGCCGAAGTTCGGATCATACATCTGAAACTTTAGTTCTTACATCTGAAGTACTTCGGTTCTCACATCCGAAGTACTTCGGTTCTCACATCTGAAGTACTTCAGATGAAAGAACTGAAGTTTCAGATGTATGATCCGAACTTCGGCAGCTAGACCTAAAGTGTTAAGATGCTCAATCTTAAAACTTCAGAGATCCTTATGACCTGAACTTCGGGTCCCACGTACGAGTTTTTTTTCTCTGTGTATATTTCAGATACCTGACTTTCTTTGCGCCGTTTCTGCTCTAAAAAGTGACAGAACAAAGGTTTACGGTGTAATTGCCCTATCAGAGATTAGGCTCACACACATAGCAAATAAGAATTATGAGTTGGTTGACTGGTTGCTTACTTGGGAAATACGTTTCTTTGGAGTTGCCATAACGAAATAAGGTCATTAAAATCTTAAAAAAGAAATCAATACAGAGAGAAGGAAGGTACAATAATAAGTCGAACAAAAGGGGAGAAAAGAGGGAGAGAAAAAGGGGGGATTTGCGAAAATGAACGAAGACTAGGAATGAATAAATCAAATTTCGAAATTAATTTGTTTGAAAAGTAAGGAGATTTACGTACATTTTTAGTAAATGAGCGTACGGATTTCTGGATTAACCTAAGAAAACTTCAACTGTAAAATTGCAGGAACTCATATCATCGGCGAAAATGCGAAACCACGTATCTCCGTTGTGGTGTTTCAAAATTTCCGCTCCTATTTTCTTTTTTCGAAGAGAAACAAGCAGTGGCGTGGCTTGAATTGCGATATATCGATTGTTATGTCATTTAAACCTATGGTTAAGAATCGATTATAAAGGTGTTCGCTGCGAACACCCTGTTTATCGATCCTTTTCCATAGGTTTAAATGGCATGACAATCGATAAATCGCAAAGCACGCCACGCCACTGGAAACAAGTGACTTCATACCTTGCAATCTATGCAGAATACTTTACTGACAGAGAAGAAAAATCAAGGAGGTATTCAAGAAATTCCGTTGAATGATTTTCTTTAGAAAAATTGAAGTATGACAGAGAGTCTGCGACATTTCAAAAAGCCATACGTAGTTTCGCACTTTGGCCATCAAAATCTCGTTTGCAACACTTCAAAATTTCCATTATAATTTTGTTTTTTTCAAAGGAATACGTATTAACCAATGCTGTTGCTCCGGATTTTCATTTAATAACTTGTCATCCGGAGAGGAAAATTCGGATAATTTTCCTGTTTTAAAATTAAAGCATGACAGAAACTACGCAACGATGCAAACCGAGAATCGCGTACCTACAATTTCACCGTCAATCTGTGAGAAAATAATGAGAGCCAATTAAATTCTGTTTAAAGAAAAACTGTCTCTGTTTCCATCGCTAAACCAAAAAAATAAACCAAATAAGCACACGGAAAAAATTAAATTGCTGATTTAACAATGCAATTGCTAGAAAAAAGTGACTGCAATGTTTCAATGTAGATTTTATAACAAAAAAATGCTACATTAACCACCCCTGTGGTTAAATTGGCTTACAATAGTGGTTTTTTATACGGTGGTAATATCTACGTTGAGACATTGCAGTCACTTTTTTTTAGCAATTGAATTGTTCAATCAGCAATTTAATTTTTTCCGTGTACGCGATGAACGGAGTGAATATTTAATCACCCTCCGTGACTGAGAAGCGAAAGCTCAAAGGTTCGGCGAACTCGAAATTAATTTGTAGCCGTTGTATGCTAATTGAACTTCCTAATTACTACTTTCCGCTGATTTTGGAGAATTCTTCATTTTTTATCCCTGGAAACTAGATAATTTTCCCTCCTCTACGTCAAATTTTATCACGAACTGAACTACCACTGCAGTACACGACCGATTGACCTATTTCACTCTGCTACGCATATTCACTTCCTTGGTGTGGACGCAAATATGCACTGTATAAAAAGCCGCGGCTACCTCTCTAAAAAATGAGATACAAAAAATGAATAGCTGCGTATGAATATGAAATTTGTGAAAAGAAAACGGTGCCTAATTTCAGCAACACCTGATGGCACTTAAGAAGTTCTAATGTTCCATTTTTCAATACAGCATCCAAAACTATGAGAGGACGTTTTATTATGGCCATTTCCGAGCACATAGAATGGTTTGTGTGGCGTATACTACTGTGCTACGGAAAAACACCGTGTAAGCCTTCCGAAATTGTCTTTCCTTTGATAAAAATCAATTTTTTTAGGGAACTTGTGAATATTTTTCTTCCGTTGGACCAGTAGACAGGGTACGAATCTAAGAATTCTGATACATGTTTCTTGATCAGAATTTCACATAGAACACGATTCGTGCCGTTAAATTACTATAAGACATGTTTACGTTTTTAGTTCACATTGGGTTGGGGAATTT